CAGGGTCTGTCCTGCAGAGTCACAAGTGACCCCCTTACCTGGGGTCTGAGCCCGTTGGCCTGGCCGGTACCGGCCACACCTGACCCCTCCCTGTAGGAACACAAGCAGCCTTTGTTGGAAGTCTTATCTCCCGCTCCCTGCTGGGAAGGCCTGGGACACCGAGGCGGGCTGTGGGGTCCAGGCGCAAGGGGGCGGGGCGGGGCCCAGCACAGCTGAGGGACGGAGCTGGCCAGAAGGGCCTACAGCTGAAGAGCAGGGCTGGGGTGGCTGAGCCCAGGGCACTGCCCACGGCGGCCGGTCTAGGCCAAGGACTGGGGCCAGGACGCACCCTGCTCTCTGGCCCCCCGTGTGGCCAACTGAGCTGAGCGACGCCTGGCTGTGTCCACACAGAGCAGGCTGTGGGTGCAGCTGGAGCCGCCACTGGAGGGTCCCGGGAACGAGCCCAACGAGCAGCCCAGCAGGCGCACAGGCGAGGGCCCACGGTCCCGCCACTGCCCCCCATGCCCCCTGCACCCCCTTTCTGTCCCCTTGACCCCTCGCCCTCCTCTCCAGTGCCTCACCCCTCCAGCTCCCCTCTCTGCCTGACCCCTCACAGCCGCCTCCTGCAGGCAGCCCTCTGGGCGTGCAGCACTGGCCCATGCTCCTCCCAGGGCCTCTGCCTGGTCACACTGCGACGTCCTCCAGCACTGGCCGTGTAGCTCCCGGCCAGCCGCTCGCACCCAGGCTGCACTGCTCCACAGGTGGTGTCCGGAGTGGACTCAGGGTGGCCCGGGCAGGACCTGGGCCATGGGAAGCAGGTCCCGGCAGCTTCTGGGGCTCGGGCTGGCTGGGCAGGGGCGCCCCCAGCTTCTCCCACCCTGCTGTGCCCTCACAGGCCCCCCACCCCACCCCACCCGCTGGGAGAGTCTGGGGGCACCTGGGACTGCCCTTCCCGTGACACCCACACACACAGGCACAGCAGGGAACCGCACGCTCACGGGCCAGCTCGCCTGTCACACACAGCGCACACCCAAAATCAGACCCACAGGAACACACGGGAACACACGGGCCCACACGGGAACACACACGCCCACATAGGAATAACGGGCCTACACAGGAACACACGCGCCCCACACAGAAACACATGGACCCAGACAGGAACACACACGCCCACACACAGGATTACATGGGTCCACACACAGGGACACGTGAGCTCACACAGGAACACACATGTCCACATACAAACACACGGGCCCGCACTCAGGGACACAGGGGCCCACACTCAGGCCGGCACCACCAGATGCCACAGAAGGCTGTGAGGGTGGCCCTGATGCCCCACGCCCAGGCCCAGCTGGGGGCTTCTAGGGACTGTCCCTCGGTGCAGGGGCACGTGGGGCTGTGGGTATGGACGGGCAGTATGTGGGCAGCAGCTCTTACCTGCCACGGCCGCCCCAGGCAGAGCACAAGGCTGGACCCGCCCGCGGCCACCAGCTTGAGCCCTGAGACCCAGGGGTGCCCCAGCCTGCAGGGGAAGGGCAGGGTGCAGGGAGGGTCACTCATGGACACTTCCTGGTCTTCTGAGCCCCCTGGAGCAGCAAAAATGGGCCCTGCCAGGGCCCCGCCTGGACGGCACCGCCCCCCCTCTGGCCGGACGTGGCTCCTGCAGTGGCCCTGGGCCTGGGGCTGGGCGGCCAGCGTGATTCCGGGGAACAATCCCGGCTCTGTGGGCGCAGCCCAGACCCGTCCTGCCACTTGGCTGGGATGGCAGAACCCGTCGGGCCGCTTTGGGCCGCTCCTGCTCCTCGCTCTGCCCCAGCCGGGCGGGAACCTGTCGGGCAGGTCCGGCCCGTGTCTCAGTGCCCTGCAGCCTCCCCGGCAGCTCCAGGCTCAGTGTCCCGCCGGATCCGGGCTCCTGGGGTCCACCGCGGTCGAGCCAGGGACATGTGAGTCGGTGCGGTGGCCGGCAGACCCGCTGCGAGGAGACGCCAGGTGGGTCCCGGGACGGGCGGGGCCGGCTTGAGCCCTGGTCTGGCAGCCAAGTGGGGGAGGGGCTCCTGCAGGCCCTCGGGTGCAGGGGTGCGGGCCCCCGGGAGCCCCTGGGCAGAGTCAGGCCTGTGCCCCGGGTTCGGCAGAGGAACCAGACCTGGCTCAGCGTGGCCCTGAGCGGGCACTGCAGGACAGGGACGCGGGGGGCCAGGCCGGCCGGGGGAGGGGAGGCGGCGCAGCCTCAGCCTCTCGGGCCTCCGGAGGCGAGTCCGGTTACGGCTCCTGTTACCTGAGCCCTAGCGCCAACTCAGCCTCCTGCCTGGTGTGTGTGTGTGTGTGTGTGTGTGCGCGCGCGCCGGACCCAGGAGTGCATGTGTGCGCTCCTGTGCAGCAGCTCTCCCGGGGGCGCCCGGCGAGTGCAGCGGAGACGGTGCAGAGCACACGTGACGGCATGTGTGGCATGTATGTGGGGTGCGCATAGCATGGTGTGTGCGAGATGTGTGTGGCATGTGCACAGGGTTTCATGAGATATGCGTGGCATGGACAGGTGTGTGTGTGACGTGCACACTGCAGGACTCTGACATGTGCATGGCGTGTGCCGGGTGGGGGAGGCAAGTCCGTGGCGTGTGCAGGATGGGCGTGGTGTGTACGTGGCGTCTGCAGAGTGGAATGGAATGCACAGAGGGCCGTGGCGTGTGTGTGGTGTGTGCAGGGCATGTGCGTGCGTGGCATGTGCGCCGCCAACCAAGGCAGGCGTGGGGCAGCGCCCTCGTGCGCCCTGGGCTGTGTTCAGCAGGTGTGAGAAGCGGCCCTGACACCATAGAGGCCGCCTGCCCCTGAGCCGGCTGCCCCGAGGTCTCAAGTCCCAGGCCCCCGGGGGTGGGACGGCGGGGACAGCCCTGCTCTGAGCCTGTGTCCTCCTTGGTGCTGCCCGGTCTCTCCATGCCCGGGACACCGCATGGACACTCTCTCGGCCAGGCAGAGTCGGGAGAACCTCCGCTTACAGGCTGGCCTCCCTCTGCTCCCTGGAAGGACACTGAGGCACGGCCAAGGCCAGCCGGCTCCGGATGCGCAGAGTAGCTGTGGCCGTAGCCGGACTTGTGCTGGGCTCAGTGCTCGGTCACCTGCCGGAGCCGGGACTCTGATGGCCAGGCATGTGCTCATGGCCATAGTTAGCATGGCTAGGGTCAGCACGGCTCCAGCTCCCTGTCGCCCTGCTGCGGTGGCCGGTGTCTGGGGGAATGACCAGCTGCAGCTGAGGTCCGTGAAGGCGCCCCACGCCACTCAGACCGTGGAGTGTGGGTCAGCGGCCATCACGGGAGTCCAGGCCTCTGGCCTGAATGGGCACAGCTCTCCGCAGAGGGCGGAGGACACTGGGACCCAGACATGCCGGGTCTGCGTCACTAGGCACTAAGGGGGGACTCTGGGGTCTGGGGCAGCTGAGCACTGACCCCGATGGCCCAGGCTGAGCCGCAGTGTCAACTGTCACGTGGACGGCGTCACTGGACACACGTCACCAGACTGTCACTCGGACGTGCCACCAGACGTGTACCACCACACTTTCACTGGACACAGCCTCAGAGGGTGTCTGGACAGGTCACCCAGTGTGACCTGGACACACGTGACCCTGGATGCCACCAGATGGTGTCGCTCAGACTGGCCACCGGTCAGGATGCGCCCGGTTACCCCAGACAGGGCTGCCGAGGCCGAGACTCTCGGCAGCCCGTGGGTGGGGCAGGCCCCTCGGCAGCAGCTGGGTGCGGGCGGCGGCCAGGCTGACTGCCCGGCGGGTCAGGGCGGAATTTCCAGCTCCCAGCACCTCGCCATGGGGCCATGGGCGCCTGCAGACGCAGGGACACGCCCCGTGCATCGGGGAGGGGCAGCCCCAGGTGAGTTCAGAGCCCACTGCCAGGCAGGCGACCATGGCACGTGGCTTCCTGCGAGCCTCCCTCTGTCCCCTCACCTGCAAGGACATCCCTTTCCACTAAGTTCCAGCCCCTGGCCTCCGGGGAGGCCCCCTCGGCCGCCTCATTCCCAGGGTCCCCACTACACTCCAACCCGGGGGTTGCCCAGAGAGAGCCCCAAACCCAGGCAGGCATGAGAGCCGAGGTGGAGTCCCCCTCCCCCACCCTCCATCACACACCTCAGCCGGCCCCGCCCCCCGCCGAAAGCACACACAGACAACCCCGCACTGCCCAGGAGAGACACACACCCACGCACCGCTCGCAGACAGACGCCCCACACCTGGGAACACCACACACACATGCCACACACTTATGCACGTGTATGCACAGAGCATAGGCAAGGAGACAGCTCAGTTCAGTTCACACCATGCACACAATGAACCTATGCATGACACAGGCTCACATACGCACTGCACACACACTCACACAGCACACGCACATGAACACTCACACAGTGCACACACACACTCACATGCCTTCACACACACACTCACACACACTCACACATGCCTCACACACACACTCACACTCACACATGCCCTCACACACACACTCACACATGCCTCACACACACACAGTGCCCACACACACTCACAGTGCCCTCACACACACCCACAGTGCTCTGAGGAACACAACCTCCTTCATGTCTGGAGGGGCCCTGCTGGAGCGAGCCCCAAGACACCAGGAGTTCAAGGGCCTGGCAGAGATCTGGTCTGGACCCTGGGACTCACTGCCCGTCCGTGTCCACCGCAGCCCGAGCCAGGCGGCAGGGTGGTGTGGCCAGGCCCCTGGTGACATCGGTGGGGCTGGGCTCAGGGCTCTGGCCACTCCCGAGCCCCTGGGGTGTGAGCACGTGTGTGTTGTGTGCATCTGTGTGTTGGGCCCACCCACGTGAACCCTTTTGTGTGCCGTGAGTCTGGGAAGGGCCAGGCCATGGCTGGGGAGGACGCGGCAGAGAAGGGCCCACTCTGAATGGGCCCGGGTCCGGCTGCTCCCTGCCTGAAACCGCACCCGCTGCCCACAGGCCGGTGAGGCTGCGGGGCTGCAGACGTGTCCAGCCGGGTCTGCACCATGGAGAGCTTCATTGAGTCTCTGAACAGACTCCGGGACATCCACGAGACGGAGGTGCTGGGTGAGTGTGGGCGCCGCGGCAGCCCGTCCCCTCCTGTCCTGTCCGGGCCGACTGGGGGCCCAGAGCCCAGCCTGGGCGGAGTCCGGGTGGCCGCACGCTGCTGCCGGGGCTACTGGACCCATACCGCCGGGCAGTGCCCCCGGCTCAGCCAAGTCACCCGACACTCAGACCAGGGTCAGGCCCCGGTGTCCCCAGACCAGTCTGCCGCCCGGGAGCCCCGAACCCTGCCCGGACCGTGCCAGGGCCTCCCTCTCCATGACCCCAGGACCTCGGGGCAGACACCAGGCAGAGGACAGCCACTGGGCCGTGGAGGGGTGGGCGTGAGAGGTGTCTTGTCCACGTGTCTGTCCCCCGCCCCCAGGCCTGCAGAGCAAACTCCTGGAGCTGAACGCAGAGCGGTGCAGGTGCATGGGGCAGGGAGGGTGGAGGCGGGCCAGAGAAGAGGGGTCCTGGGGAGCGAGCGGCCACCCACTCCCCCCCCCCACACCCCGCAGGGACGCCCAGAGGGCAGAGGAGCTGAGCGCCAAGAACCAGCAGCTGCGGGAGCAGCAGAGGGCGCTGAAGGAGAATGTGCGGGCGCTGGAGAACAGGTGGGCGGGGCTGGAGGGCGGGTGGGCGGGGCTGGAGGGCAGGTGGGCGTGGCTGGAGGGCGGTTGGGCGGGCCTGGAGGGTAGGTGGGTGGGGCTGGAGGGCAGGTGGGTGTGGCTGGAGGGCGGGTGGGCGTGGCTGGAGGGCAGGGGCGCTGGCGGGCAGGTGGAGGCGTGACTGGTTGTCAGGTGGGCGGGGCTAGGGCAGGTGGGGGCGGGGCTGGATGACAGGTGGGCGGGGCTAGGGCAGGTGGGCGGGGCTAGGGCAGGTGGGGGCGGGGCTGGAGGGCGGGCGGGCGGGGCGGGCGCTGGAGGAGAGGTGCGCGGGGCGGGGCCGGGGTGGGCGGGCGCGGTGTGGGGCGTGGGGGGCTGAAGGCCGTGATGGGATGGGGGGCTGGGTGCAGGAGGGAGGCGGGTGCGGGCAGGGCTGAGGGGGCGGGGCGGGGTGCGTGGGGCGGGCAGCGCGGGGCTGGAGCATGCAGGGGGCAGGCGGGTGCAGAGCACGGCCCCCTGGGCGAAGGGCCGCGTGCCCGTGGCGGAATCTGAGCGCCCCCCCCTGCAGGCTGCGGGCTGGCCTCTGTGACCGCTGTGTGGTGACGCAGGAGCTGGCCAGGAAGAAGCAGCGCGAGTTCGAGGGGTCCCTCCTGCAGAGTCTGCAGCACGTCTTCATCCTCAGTGAGTCCCCGGCTCGGACCCGGGAGGCGGCACGCGTGGGCCAGGTGGCCGCGTGCGCCGCGAAGGGACGGGCCCTTGCTGGGGGGCGGGAGCAGCCAAGCTGGCCCCCACCCGTCCCCGCCTGGCTGCCCCTGGGCGACACCCGGGGTCTCGGCCGGGTCCCTGCCCACCCTGCCGCTAACCCTGGCCTCTCGCAGCCAACGAGATGAGTCGGCTGCAGGAGGAGAACAACGGCCTGAAGAAGGAGGTGAAGCGGCTGCGGGGCCCGGGGTGAGCGCCGACGGGTGGGTGCGACCCACTGAACCCTCGGGCAGCAGCGGCCGCCCCAGTGCTGACCGAGAACCCCGCCCCCCGCCTCCCCAGGGACAGGCCGCGGCCCCCCAGCAGGGCCGGCACCTCCAGCCCCCCGTCCCCGTCCTCCCCTGGCACCTGGAAGACGGGGGCCGAGACGCCGGCCAGGGTCCCCGCGGAGGCGCAGGACGAGCACCCAGGTGGGGTCGGAGGGAAGGGGGGCTGGAGGCGCCCCAGGCCACGGCACTGACCCCGCCTCCCCCCCCAGAGAAGCCCGTGGGGTATCAGGTGTCCCCAGGATCCAGGACCTCGCCAGGGGGCAGCGGCCCTGAGCCGCCCTGGCCCTCAGACATGGTGAGTGCGCCCCAGGGCTCTGCCGGCAGGGCCACCTGCCCAGGTCACCCCAGCTGACCCCCTGCCCGCAGAGCCCCCAGCGCATCTCCAACCAGCTGCACGGGACCATCGCCGTGGTGCGCCCCGGGCCCTGGGCCCCCCGGCCCGCCTGCAGCGGCCCACCCAGCCCCCCAGCAGACAGGTGAGGGGCCCGTCCAGACTGGGGAGGGCGCGGGGGGCGGGGCGGGCTGTGTCCTCCCCGCCTGGGGCCTCCTGGCGAGGGAGTGACGGGTGCCCCCACCCCACAGCCTCCTGCAGCCTCCCGCTGGGGCCTCCGCGTCCCTGACCTGTCCCCGGCGGGCCGGCCACCTGTGCCTCCTGGCCCCTCACCTGGCCCTGCGCCTGCACAGCCCGCCGGGCCCCAAGGCAGGGGCAGAAGAGGCCTGGGAGGAGACCCCCGGGCCCCCCACGAGCCCGCAGCTGGAGGGGGCCCTGCAGCTGCTCCTGGCCCGGCAGCTGCGGGCACGGGGGCTGGTGGGTGCGCCCAGGCCCCGACGACTCCCCACGCCAGCACAGACGCCCCCCTCCCCAGCAGCCGGGTCTGACTCCGAGGGCCCCGAGGGCGAGGGCCCGCCCCCCCGGCCCCCCCGGCCCGACAGCCCCCCGCGGAAGGAGACCTCGGCCGCAGGAGACTGGCTCCCGGACAAGCCCCTAGACCTTTCCGAGTGGGGCCGGGACCGGGGCCGGGGCACCCCCAAGCCCGCCAGCACCCCGACTGCCAGCCCCAAGCCCCCCCTGGGAGCCGAGGCACCCGGGCAGCCGGGGGTCCAGAGGGAGGACGCCCCCCAGGTAAGCCCCGGTCAGCCCCCACGGGGCCGGGGTCTGGGGCCTCCCCCAGCGCACTCAGGGCGCTGCCTTGCTCTAGGAGACCCCGCGTCCCCTCTGGGGGTCCCCCCGGAGCCAGCCCTCCCCAGGCGTGCCGGGGGAGGAGGCCAGAGGCCGGCTGAGAGCCCCCCACTGTCCGCAGAGGCCCCAGGCCCTCCCCGCAGGTGAGGAGAAAGGAAGGGGCCGCCGTGGGGGGCCACGGGGGGCTGCCCAGGGCGGGAGAGCCCCGGCGAGGGCCCTGGGGCCGGCTGTGCAGGAGACGTCAGTCAGCTGCTGCGGCCTCGGTTTCCCCCGCGCCCGGCTGTCCCCAGGCCCACCGGGCTGACACGGCCCTGCCCGCACCTTCCAGAACACGGCGAGGGACTGCGGCTGAGGTCGGAGCAGCAGGAGCCGGAGACCCCGGGCTGTGAGGTGGGTCCTCAGCCACACCCTCCGGGAGGCCCCCGCAGACGGGGCCTGACCCCCCCTTCTGCCCAGGGGGACACCAAGGAGACCTCAGAGGCGTCCCGGCTTGTAAGCGAGGACCTCGGGGCAGGGCCGGCCCCCAAGAGGAAGCGGAGCTCGGAAGCCTGGGGTGAAGGTGGGAGCAGCCCGGGGTGGGGTGGGGGGCCGTAAAGGGGCAGGCGGGGCTGACCCCATGCTCTCCCTCCCTGCAGCCTCCAAGAAGCCAGCCCTGGGCCAGACCCCCGGCGAGTCCCCGCTGGGCGGTGCCAGCAGCCCCTCGGGGCAGACCTAGGCAGCGGGCACAGACACGCCCGTGCACAGCGCCACGCCGGACCACGGCAGCGAGTGCCAGGCGCAGCCACTGCACGGCGGGAGGGCCGGTTCCCGGGCTGACCTCCCCGCCTCCCGCCTCCCGGACCCCACACCCCCCCCTGCTGCCGGACTGCCCTGCTGGCCCTCCCCGCCCCAGCTCCGCGCGGGCTCGGGCGCCCCCTAGTGGAGGCCCAGAAGCAGGCGGCTCCGGGGCCCCGGGAGAGCCCTGCAGGGTCAGCGGTCAGTGGCGGCCCCCAGCTGGGCAGGGGCCTCCAGAGGCAGTTCTGAGTGGGGGTGAGCCGGGCCTCCTGCACTGGCCTCGGACAGCTCGGGGGGTCCAGCAAGGGCAAGGCTGCAGCCCAGCAGGCCCGGGCAGAGCTGAGGGGCACCCGGGGCAGAGCGCCAGCGGGATCGGAGGCCCCCCAGCACCAGAGGCTCGCCGGGTGCAGGAGGGGCGTCCCAGCACCCCGGAGGGCTGAGGCCTCCTGGGCGTGAACCGGGGCTCCCAGGACAGGGCGGCACCTGAGCCCCACCTGCTGCCAGAGACGGGCCATTCTGTCTGCCTGCAGCTTCAGGGTGCGGGGGAGACAGACGGGGCCGGGGGCAGGGCAGGAGGGGCCCAGAGCACAGAGAAACTGAGGCCCAGAGGGAGGGGTGCGAGACCCCCTCCCCCGGTGCCAGACCCTTCTGGAATGAATAAACCAAAACTACTGACAGGCGGCTGGGCTTGGAATGTGCGTGTCCCCCGACAGCCAGGGGCCTGTGGCAGGTCGCCCGGAAGCCCGCAAGGCCATGCTCCCTCTCACGCCCTCACACCTTGGCTCCTCACCAGAGCGGCCCCCCAGGACACGGGAAGCCCCCAACATGCACAAGGCCCCCTTGGCACAGCACACAGGCCAGCACTGAGCCGGGGCCAGGTGTCCCCTCCACCTCCCCGACCATTCCGCTGCCCAGTCCCTGCCTTCCTCTGGCCAGCTCCTCACAGCACCGCTGGGTCTGAGGGCCCCTCCCCTCCCTTTCCAGACCTCTGGGGCACAGTCAGCACCCCGAGTCCAGAAGCTGAGAACCCAGTCAAGTGGCCAGCACGGCCCCTATAACTGCCAGCACGCCCCCACACGCACATGCATGCACACACACATGCAAACACGCACACACACATGCACGCGTGCACACACTCAGGGAGCAGCACACCACCCCCTCACCCCGTCCCCTCCTGATGCTCTTCCTAGGGCCGGGCCGCGGGGGTGGGGGGCTGAGGCCAGATCCACCAGGCACGGCTGGCACTGGCCGCACTAGCCCGTGGGGCTCATCCGGGAGCGGGGAAGGGACGCCAGCCCCTCCGCAAGGTCGGTCGGGGCACTGTGAGCTGAGGAGCGAGCGAGGGGACCTGGACTTCGCAGGTGACTTTGCAGCACCACAGGCTGTCCCCCCACTGCCTGCACCCCAGCCCACCCTGAGGTCGAGCGGCCGCTGCAGGGAACCGGGCCCGCTGGGGACGCGGAGGGAGAGAGGGCGGGCGAGGGGGAGCCCAGCTTCCCCGCCCCGCGGCCTGCACCCCCGCCAGGGGCACGCCTCTACGCCGGGTCAGAGGCCGGTCCTCCCCCGAGGCGGCGCTGCGGAGCCGGCGCCCCGAGGCTTCCGAGCGGGACTCGAACGCGCGGAGCGCCCGACACGCGGCCCAGGGCCCGGCACCCGGGGCCAGCAGGTGCGCGGCGCGCGGGTCCCGGGGGGCGCGGCGGGCCGCCTCTAGGACCCAGGGGAGCCGCCGGGCGGCCCGCGCGGGCCAATGGGCGGCCGCCCCGGCGCCTCATTTGCATGTCGGCGCGCCGCGGCCAATGGGCGGCGGGCGCGTGCGCATGCGCGGGCGGCGGGCGGGCGGCCCAGAGCGAGGATGGCCGCGGCCGCGGCGGGAGGAGCCCCGGGCCCCGCCGCCCGCGCCCCCGGCCCCGGCCCCGGCCCCGGCCCCGGCCCCGGCCCCGCCGCCCGCGCCCCCGGCCCGCCCGCGCCGGGGCCCCGCCGGCGCGGGGACTCGCGGCGCCGCCAGGCCGCGCTCTTCTTCCTGAGCAACATCTCCCTGGACGGGCGCCCCCCGGGCCGGGGCCCCGGCGGGGAGAAGCCGCCGCCCGCGCCGCCCGCGCCCCTCGCGCCCGCCGCGCCCGCCGAGGCCCCCGGCCCCGCGCCGCCGCCCGCGCCCCCCGCGCCGCCCGCGCCGCCCGCCGGCCCGCCCGCGCCCCCCGCCGGCCCGCTGAGCCCCGCGCCCGCCGCGCCCGGCCCCGGCCCCGGCCCCGACGGCCCGCGCCAGCGGTGAGTGCCCCGGGTCGGGGGGCCGGCGGGGGGCGCGGGGGGCGCGGGGCTGCGGGTCCCCAGGCTCCGGGAAAGCCGCCGAGGAACAGACCCCGGCCCGGCCCTGCTGCTGCCCCTCGGTGGGGCTCGGCTCCGCTGCGCTCGGAGGGCCCCCCCCCCGGGCGCCCCGCTGGGCACCCCCGACCCGCCTCCTGGAGCCCCTCTCCTGCCCTCGGGATGCCCGCGCTCCGCCGCTGGTCACTGGGGAGCGGCTCCCGGCCCATCCCGACCGCCGTGTCCCCGTGGTCGCCCGTACGGCCGCCTCCACTGCCGGTGGCCGTTCTGGCCTGGCCAGCCACAGCCGCGGGCCCGGGCCCGCCGGGAGAGCGCGTGCTGGGGGGCAGCACCAGACCCTGCCCGGGGGCGGCCCGGCCGGCCCCTGGGCCCCACCCGTCTGAGCCGGCCCCCTCCCGTCCCCGCAGGAGGCGTGTCGCTTCCCAGCGCTGCTCCCTCGAGTTCCTGGAGGACACCCCGGGATCTGCCCCGGGTCCAAGGTACCGACCGCCCTGGGGGCTCCGCCCTGGCTGCCCGTCCCGGGCAGAGGGTCTCGGGCCGGAGGGAAGAGTGACCGTCTCGTCCTGCAGGACCAAGCACAGCTCGGGCTCGCCCAGGCACAAAGGCCTGAAGAAGACACATTTCATCAAGAACATGAGGCAGTACGACACCAGGAGCAGCAGGTGCCACAGGGGCCACGGCCGAGGCCCCCCGCCAGCCCCCTCCCTGGCCATCCTCTGCGGAAGCCCCGAGCGTGGGTCAGGGCCGCAGGTCCCGGCATGATGGGCCCTGCCTGGTGCCCACGGGGGCCCTTGGGCGCTCAGGAACGGGGGAGGGGCGCCCCCAACCACCGTCCCCTGTGGAGGAAGGGCACTGCTGGCGGGGTCAGGCTGGGGACAGGCCCCCCGACCTGTCCCCCAAGCCCTGGCCTTCCTGGGGCCCCTCTCTGAGCACTGGAGGTGGCGCCTCCGTCCTGAGTCAGTTCGTCCCGGCCCAGGATCGTGCTCATCTGCGCCAGGCGGTCCTTGTGTGCGGCCTTCTCGGTCCTGCCCTACGGAGAGGGCCTGCGTGTGAGGTGCGGGCCAGTGGGCAGGCGGGGTGGGGCACCCCTCCTCGAGGGGCGGAACTGCAGCCCCCTGTCCTGCAGTGACCTGCGGGCGGACAGTCAGAAGCAGCGGCACCCGTCGGGCGGCGTGGCTGTGGCCTCCGAGATGGTGTTTGAGCTGGAAGGAGTGGAGCTGGGAGCCGACGGGAAGGCAAGAGCCGGGTGGGCAGGGCACCGGGGCGGGCACCGCAGCCCCCAGACGCCCCCACGGCCCGACAGGTGGGCCACGTGCCCTGCCTCTGCAGGTCGTGTCCTACGCCAGGTTCCTGTACCCGACCAATGCCCTGGTGACACAGAAGACTGACGGCCACATCCCGCTGCCCCCGCCACGGCCCAGCGTCCCCCGGGCTCTGCCTGCGCCAAGATGCAAGCCCGCCCCCACCAAGGTGGTGCCCACCAGCTCGGAACTCGGTCAGTGGCCTGTGGCTGCACCCAGGGAGGTGCGGGGGGTCCCCTGGGAAAGACTTGGGTGCCCGCAGCTGGCCGGGCCGGGGACCCGGCGAGGATCTGCCCACCAGGATACCTTCCTACACCCTGACCTGGGGGCTCCAGGGTCAGCACTGTCCACTTACAGGGAGCGATGCGGGGGACACACTGGAGTACAACCCCAACCTCCTCGACGACCCCCAGTGGCCGTGCGGGAAGCACAAGCGTGTGCTCATCTTCGCGTCCTACATGGTCCGTGCTCGCGCCCCCGCCCCGCCCGCCCGCCTGCCCCCTTCCCGGAGGCCCTGGGTCACCCCCTCTGGTCTGTGTGTGTGGCAGACCACGGTCATTGAGTACGTGAAGCCCTCAGACCTCAAGAAGGACATGAACGAGACCTTCCGGGAGAAGTTCCCGCACGTCCGGCTGACCCTGAGCAAGATACGGAGGTAGGACGGCCCCCTCCCCCCCCCGCCCCTCGGGGCCAGACCCCGCTGTCCTGCCGGCACACTGGCCCAGGGCCCCGGCACACTGGCCCAGGGCCCCGTGGTGTGACCCGAGGGGCCGCCGCCCTCCCGGGGGGCTGGGGCCGGCCCCTCTCTCAGGCAGGGCTGGCCGCCCCCAGCTTGAAGCGGGAGATGCGCAGCCTCTCGGCCGAGTGCAGCCTGGAGCCGGTGACCGTGTCCATGGCCTACGTGTACTTCGAGAAGCTCGTGCTGCAGGGCAAGCTCAACAAGCAGAACCGCAAGCTCTGCGCGGGCGCCTGCGTGCTGCTGGCCGCCAAGATCAGCAGCGACCTCCGCAAGAGCGAAGTCAAGCAGCTCATCGACGTGAGTGGGGGCCGCGGGCCGCCCCGGCCTCCCCCGAAGGCCGCCGCTCACCCGTCCCCCTGTCCCCCCTCTGCCCGCAGAAGCTGGAGGAGAGGTTTCGCTTCAACCGCCGCGACCTCATCAGCTTCGAGTTCACGGTGCTGGTGGCCTTGGAGCTGGCCCTCTACCTCCCCGAGCCCCAGGTCCTACCTCACTACCGCCGCCTCACCCAGCAGTCCTAGCCCGGCGGCTCGGCCTCCCCTCGGCGTCCCGTCGCCCGCCCCTGCTGGACGGACGCCCGCTGGCCCGGGCAGAGCCCCGGAAGCAGCTCAGCCTGACCGTGGCCTGGGCCCACGCCGTGTCACTGTGCGGCCGTCCTGGGCACCCGGGCCCAGCCGCCAACCCCAAAGCAATAGCACGGGAGCCCGCGCCTGCGAACCCGGGACTAAGGGAACAGGAGCTGGCCGGCTCCCGCAGGCCCCCCAGCCCCCTGCCCGGTTATTTAACTCCCAGGCCGAGGCTGGTGCACGGCCTGGGCCCCCTCTGGTTTACAGCTTGGCCCTTGGAGCCGACGAGTTTTCCTATTCACGCTGCCCCCTCCCCTTGCCCAGCCGGTCTGCATGGAGGCCGGCACCAGGACGAGAATGTCCAGTGGCCAGCGGCCACCTGGGGCCAGTGGCCAGGCTGCTCTCGGGAACATTCCTGCGTGTAGAAGTAAACACTCGTTCTTTGGGCCCGTGTCTGCATCCGCCGCCACCCCGGGGCACACAAGACAGGACACAGGGGTGGTGGGCTCGCGCCGTTTATTCACGAAGGACGTCCCCTCCGTCCCCTCCGGGCGGCTCCCTCAGAAGTTCCTGGGGCAGAAAGAGGCGGTCAGGGGGCGGGGGCGGAGGGCGGGGGCGGGGCGCACCCCGGCCGGGCGCTTACTTGGACACGATGCTGTCGGCCTTGGCCAGGCGGAGGATGGAATCGTCGGACTCGCCCTGCAAGAGCCACGCGGGGGCGGGGGCGTGAGCGTGGACGCGCCGCCCGGGGGGGGTGGGGGGTGCGCGGGGCACGTGGGCCGGGGCCGCCGGACACTCACCATCCTGCGGATGGCCCCGCAGATGGCGTACGTCTTAAACTGCCCGTTGAACCTGCCGGTGACTTTGTCCACCTCGGCCACGTTCATCTGGATGGACGCGTGGTCCTTGGCGCCGATGATGCGGTTGCTGGCCGAGCTGGGGGAGGGGCGGGTGAGGGCGCGGCGGGGGGCCGGGGCGGGGGGGCGCGGGCGAGGGGGCGGCCGGGGCGGGGGGGGCGCGGGCGAGGGGGCGGCCGGGGGTCACTCACCACTTCCGCGGCACGTACAGGTCCACGAACTCGCCGGCGTCGTTCTGCATGGTGGCGGGGCCTGCGGCGGGCGCGGCGTGAGCGGCCCCACGCGGCCCCCCGCCCCGCGCCGCCCCGCGCCGCCCGCGCCGCCCGCGCCCCCGGCCCGACCCCGCGGCCCGGAACACGCGGCCCGGTGCCCGCGGCCCGGACCCAGGCCCGCGCCGGGGCCGCGCGACCCACCTGGTGCGTCCGCGACGTGCTCGAGCGCAGAAAGGAAGCGCCGCGCGGCCGCGCTGCGATATTGGCGGGCGGGGGCGGGACCCCAGCGACTGCTTCCGGGTCCTGGCGCGCGCCTGCGCAGAGAGGCCCAGCCGCGCTGCCCGCGAGGCTCCGGCCCCCAGCCGAGGCCACGCCCCTCCTCTCAGGCTCCGCCCTCAGTCCAGGCTCCGCCCTCGGCCGAGGCCCCGCCCCTCCGTCCTGGCTCCGCTCTCAGCCAAGCTCAGGCTCCCCAGCCAGTGTCCCAGGGCCCCGGCATCGGGCAGGGGCAAAGAGGAAGGGGCTCGCTGCGTCGGAACCCACAGTCTAGGTTTTGTGTTTTTGAGCCCAGTACTGTTGAGGGATGCCTAGTACAGGTTCCATCCCCCGTGGCACCCCGGTGGCCGGGATTGAGCAAATATTTTTTTCTTTTTGGGTCACACCCGGTGTGGCACAGGGGTTACTCCTGGCTCTGCACTCAGAAATTACTCCTGGCGGTGCTCAGGGGACACTATGGGATGCTGGGAATCGAACCCGGGTCGGCCGCATGCAAGGCCAACGCCCTCCCCGCTGCACTACCGCTCCAGCCCCCTCCGCAAGTGTTTTGATAGAAGCGTAGACACATAAATCAGGAAAACGATCTGGTGAAAATACATTGGTTGGATTGCAGGTCAGACCCTGGAGAAGAAAAAAGATCAGTGAAAGATTTAACAATAGGAACTAGAAACTACCTCAAATGAAACAAGAAAACAAAGGTTTTTGATGGGAAAAGCTTCCCTGGGGGCTGGAGAGTAGCTGCTTTGCACAGACGAGGTCATGGGTTTGAGCTCAGGCACCAAAAATATTTCTAGGAAGCAACTATGAGATGAAAGATCTCAGGATCACTTCAAATTGCCCACCGTAGGAGATTGGACGGGGCTGGAGGGGAGAAGAAAGTGAATGGCCCAATTCTCCCAAATATGATAACAACCGTGAAGTTTACGAGACGCAGGTACAAGGTCGCTCCAAGTACCCTGAGAGACAGCACTGCAGGTCGGGCTCTGGCCTTACCTACCGCCGACCTGGGCTCCATCGCCAGTGTCCCTTATGGTCCCCAGAGCTCACCAGGAGTAATCCCTGAGTGCAGAGACAGGAGGAAGCCCTGAGCACCACAGGGTGTGGCCCAAAAGTTTCAAAAACAAGGGGCTGGGGCTGGAGAGATAGCACAGCCGGTGGGGCGTTTGCTTTGCACGCGGCCAACCCGGGTTCGATTCCCAGCATCCCATATGGTCCCCTGAGCACTGCCAGGAGTAACTCCTGAGCGCAGAGCCAGGAGTTACGCCTGTGCATCGCCAGGTGTGACCCAAAAAGAAAAAAAAAAAACCAAGGGGCTGAGTGATAGTACAGCAGATAGGACATTTGTCTTGGACGTGGTCCCCAGATCCCATATGATCCCCCAAGCACGGCCAGGAGTTATTCCTGAGTGCAGAGCCAGCAATAACCCATAAGCATTGCTGGGTGCGACCCGAAAAGAAAAAAAAATTAGAAGAAACGGGACTAGGATGGTGGCAGCAGAACTCCCAATGAAAGAAAGGTGAGGAAGATGGTTGCAGCGTCAGTCTTCAAGCGCTGGGTGGGCCACCCCCACCAGGATCCCCACACCCCGACCACAGTCTGAGGGGGCGACCACTCCCGGCTTGCAGCAGGACCATGCCTGCCTCCTGCTTGTCTCTGGAGGCCCTGCTGTCTCGAGATCCTTGGTGCTGCAGGTTCTGGTCACACTACAGCCAGGGCACAATTCCCAGTCAGCCCAGCAGCTGGAATAAAGGCCTGCGACCTCTGTGGCTGGAGCAGTCCCCTGGGGAGCACAGCAGAGTGAGGGAGCCCTGGGGAGCACAGCCGTGGAGCTGATCTGACCGCGTGCTTTTGGCAGTGTTTGGTTTCTGCTTGGTGTCTAAGGACATCTCGGTGGGAGCGGAGGCTGCGGGGCTGAAGGACAGTGATGGGCCTGCCTTGCAATCGGTCTAGTTTGTGGGTCCAGGAGCCTGGCGCAGAGCTGAGGCCTCGCGTGCAGCCGACCCTGTCCCTTCCCCTGGCCGTGCGGTTCCTTGGATGCTGTCGGGGCGGCTCCACCCTGGCACAGACCACCTTCTCACTCTGACCTGCCTGCCATTGCCTGAGTGACCGGATCTCTGAGCATCCCTTGGGCGGCCCCAGGTTAATCTGCGCTGACCACAGCCCAGAGTGGGAGGGCCGGTGGGTGGGACGGTGGGAGGACTGTGTGCACCGTGGCCGCAGCATCGTGCTGGCCAAGTGAGCTGGCTGCAGACACAAGGCATTCAGCGCGACCCCCAAGACTGCCAGAGAGAGGACGGGTGTGACCTGCCCCTGGACTGCAGGGCTCCAGGGCATGTGGCCTCCGACAGTGAAATAAGGGGGAACCAGGAAGGTTTCTCAGAGGCGCAGCCACATGGAGCACCTGTGGGGGCCCCACCTTTGACCCTAAACTGGCACTCAGCCAGGCGGGAGCACTGGGAGTGGCCCCAGGCGCTGCTTGGAGCCCCCAGATAAGAAAGGAGAAAGAGAAACTGGAATCCTGGGCCAGAGCAAGAGTGCCAGGGGCGGGCGCTCGCCTTGCTCCCCTGGGCTCGGTCCCCAGCACCCCGGAGAGTCCCTGTGCCCACCTGGAGTGACCCCAGCACAGCCTGCTGTGGCCCCAAACAAACTGAGCTCTGAATGGACCCAAGGCCTCCGCAAGCCCCAGAGAGTCGGGAAACAGGCAGGCGGACACGCGGTGCCGGGCTTTGGCACAGGCTGGCCCCACCTCTTGCTGGTGACCGCTAAGGGGCGCCCGAGAGCCGCGCCGGCCTGCAGACAGCCCAGGGCGCGGGCCTCCCTCTGAGCTTCTCTGAGGCCCATCTGGGTCAGGGGGGAGCCAAGGCGGGGGGGGGGGGGGGCAGTGGGGCAGCACCCATTCTCCACGGCAGAGGCTGGGCACCCCAGGAGTAACAGCCAGCCCCATCAAGGCCCCCCAAGTTCATACCCCCTGCCACCCCTGAGGGTCAGCCCCAGGACGAGCCTCTTGCGGCCCCCCGCCCTACTCGGCGGAGCGGGACCTCCCGCAAGGGGCAGGAGGGCTCTGCAGGGAGGCACTGACCACCCACTCCCCACCGCCCACTCAGGACTGTCCTGCTGTGGCCCAGGTGGCTCAGCAGTGGGACCCCGACACTGCACAGGTCACAGGTCACAGGTCAGCTGCCTAAGTCCCCAGCCAGCAGCGCTGCCCACTGCAGATTGCTGTCTCCGGGGCCCACCGCACAGGCAGGCCCCTGGGGTTCCGTCCCGAGCGGCCAGTCCCAGGAGAGCCCCCTCCTCGCAGAGTGCTGTCCCTGGGCTGGTGCACTGTGCGCGGCCAGGGTCAGCCCAGAGCAAGGAACCCGTCCTTCCGGAGGGGGCAGGGCCCTGGGGTGAGCGGCCGGTCAGGCTGACCTGCCCACGTTGGCCTCTGTTCTCATGGTGCTTCTCGGGGTTGTGGGGACCACCCCCTCTCTGTGGGACGGAGGCAGGCGCGACCCCCATGTGGAGGGGTTGTGGGGGCCACGAAGAGCCAAGGGAGCGATGACCACTGAGCTACGTTCCCTCACGCTCCCCTACGTGTTTAATGTGACTCAGTCTCTCTTGGTGCAAGATGCACTGGGCTGCCCGGGGGTCGGTGCCACCTCGTCCCTGGGCCCCCTCCTGCAGAGGGACCAGGAAGGAGGCACTTCCAGCCAGCCGGATTGTCCCGGGATGCCCCGAGACCACCGCTGGAGCCCAAAGCAGCCCCAGCTCCCCAGCTCAGGGGAGATGTGAGGCGGCTGCCCCTGGGGCCCGACCCCTGACCCCAGGAACGGCTCCTCTCCCTGCCCCGTGCCCCCTCCTCTGTGCACCCCAGGAAGCAGTGGCTGTCCCTGCCGCTGGTCCAGTTTCCACGCTCCAGTCTTGGGGAGCAGGTGCCCAGGCAGGAGAAACAGCACCGTCCACAGCCTCGGGCCTGCGGCTCGGCTCACAGTGCTCCAGAGCAGACGGGGCTGGGGAGGCAGCGTGGGGCTGTGGCCCCGCGGGAGGCTCCATGCGGAGGGTCCCAGCTTCCAGCCTGACTCTGTCCAGAAGGGAATTCGGAGAGGCAGCCCAGGTGGCCCGGGCTTGACCCCGGAGCCCCCTACGGTCCCCGAGAGTGCCACCCCGAGTGCAGATCCAGGAGTCAGCCCTGAGCACCGCCAGGTGTAGCCCCCAAACAAACAACAGAAAAAGAAGCTACTCAGCAACCCCCACAGAGCTGGGAAGAGCCCACCCGCGGAGCCACCGCTGCCCCGGAAGGAAGTTTCCAGTGCCCTGCCTGGGCCGGCACCTGCTGGGGGGGCGGGGGCGGGCGTCCCCCTGCACAGACCCGACAGGGAGGAGCCTGGCGGGCTTCCAGGCCTGACGGGGGTTCTGGGGTGACGCCAAGGAGGCCTTGTGGGGGCTCGTGAGGGGCCTGGTCTCGCCACTTCCCCGAAGGCAGCCCGCGGAGGCGTGGCCTGCCAGGAGGGCCGGAGATTCCAGACGGCGCCGCCCCCACCCCGGCCCCCAGCCTCGTCCTACTCCTCACCCTGGGCGGCAGCTCTGGGTGGGCCGGTGGGGTGGGGCGGCGGGCACTGGGGGGGCAGGGAATCGGTTCATCTCCCAGGGCACTGGGTAACCTCAGGCGGGTAAGCCCAGCCAGGAGCGCGCGGGGTACCCAGGCAGGGGACAGGAGGGGGCCATGGGTGCCTGACGTGCATCACCCAGCAGGGGAGGTCAAGGGTCACCCTGGGGTCATGGTCCCCGGGACCCTTCAGGGAGGACCCCCTGAGGGCAGAGTCCAGAGGCGTTGGGCGCCCGAGTGCGGCGGCCCCTGGAACCTGGCACGGCCTCGCAGGCCTTGGTGTCTGTTTACATTCCCGCGGAAGCATCTCGGCGCGGGCGGCTTCCTGGAGGTTGGGACACGCAGCGGCCTCACTCTCTGGGCAGCGGGGGGCCCAGCTGGGCGGACCCCGGGCAGGCAGGGGCCTCTCCACCCGCCCCCGCTGCGGTGCTCTCCTGCGGGCCCCCCAGGGGACGCGCCTGGTGGCGTGAGTCGGGGGTGCTGTGACTCAGCCTTCCCACAGCACAACCCCCAGACCCCTGCTGAGTTGACACCTATGGGGGGGACTCAGGGTCATGACCCCATCTGGAGGCCGGTGGGAACCTCAGGCCCAGTGACGCCTTCCAGGTCCCCCTTGGAGTTGAGCCCCAGCAAAAGACTCATCTCCTGGGGACAGCTGGGGACAGCTGGTGGCCAAGGGGGCCCCAAGCACTGGCCGGCAGGGTGAGGGGGTGGCCAGCGGCTGCCCGCTGGCCGAGGTGCAGGCCGGGCTGTGCGGGGTGCCAGGAGGCTGCGTGGTCCTGGGCCGTGAGAGCCCAGGGGCCAACGAGGGGCAGCTGGCACGAGGCGCAGAGGAAGGCGGCCTGGCCGGGCTCAGAGGGCACGCGTTTTCCTGGGGTGGATGTGGCAGGAAGGGGTCCCTCCGTGTCCCCTCAGGGCCAGCTGCCTCCTGAGCCTCCATCCCCCTGGAGGACTGAGTGTCCCTGGGTGCAGCACGCGAAGGGGCAGGAGCCCCAAGTCAGAGGGTCTGTGGGGGTCTGCATCGCTCTGGAGAGCAGGGGGCTCCCTTCGCAGGGGCAGGGGCCAGAGCCAGGCACCTGCCCTGGGGCGTCTCCCACTCCAGGACTGTCAGCCCAGAACCCCGGGCCCCATGCGCCCCCAGACCCCCTGCCAAGGCTGACCCAACAATGACAGACCTGTGCGGCAGTGAGCCAGTGTCACTGGGCCCTCCAGGCCCCCCCACTGGGCCCTCCAGACCCTCCCACTGGGTCCCCCGACCCCCCCATTGGGCCCTCCAGACCCCCCGCTGACCCCTGCAGACCCTCCCACTGGGTCCCCCGATTCCCTCACTGGACCCTCCAGACCCCCCCACTGGGTCCCCCGACCCCCCCACTGGGCCCTCCAGACCCTCCACTGACCCCTGCAGACCCTCCTACTGGGTCCCCTGACCCCCCCACCGGGCCCCTCCAGACTCCCCCACTGGGTCCCCCATCTCCCCACTGGGCCCTCCAGACCCCCCACCAGGCCCTCCAGACCCCCCGCTGACCCCTGCAGATCCTCCCACTGGGTCCCCCGATTCCCTCACTGGACCCTCCAGACCCCCCCCACTGGGTCCCGCATCTCCCCACCGGGCCCTCCAGACCCCCCACCGGGACTTCCAGACCCTCTCACTGGGTCCCCCGACCCCCCAACTGGACCCCTCCAAAACCCCCCAACTGGGTCCTCCTGACCCCCACACCAGGCCCTCCAGACCCTCCCACTGGGTCCCCCGACCCCCCCACTGGGCCCTCCAGACCCCCCCACTGACCCCTGCAGGCCCTCCCACTGGGTCCCCCGACTCCCTCACTGGGCCCCTCCAGACCCCCCCACTGGGTCCCCCATCTCTCCACCGGGCCCTCCAGACCCTTTCTGGGGGGCCCGCCCAGACCCGCTCTCTGGGGGGCCCGTCCAGACTCGCCCACTGGGGCTCATCCTAAACAAATTCTCCCAGACGCCCGCCCGCAGGAGGCCACTCTGAGTCAGACTCGGCCCAGGGCACAGGCAGGCTGGGGAGGGGCAGGGCAGGACCCGGAAGCAGCTACTTGGCGTGTGAGCATCCTGGGGTTGGTCTCGGGTACTGCCTGGAGCATCTGGAGCGCCCTGAGGGCCAGGAGAAGCAGCAAAGAAGCAGAGACCCAGAAGGGTGGAAAGCGGAGGGCATCTCGAAAGAGACAGATGGAGAGACAGAGACAGGCAGAGACAGAGGGAGACAGAGAGAGGCAGAGGCAGGCAGAGACCAAGGGAGACAGAGAGGCAGAGAGACAGATAGGTGGAGACAGAGAGACAGAGAGACAGAGACAGGCGGAGACAGAGAGGCAGCCAGAGACAGAGGGAGACAGAGACAGAGAGACAGACAGAGAAAGACAGGCAGAGAGAGGCAGAGAGACAGAGAGAGAGAGACAGGCAGAGGCCGAAGGAGACAGTTGGAGATAGAGGAAGACAGAGAGACGGGCAGAGGCAGAGGCCCACAGGGTCGGGGCGGCCACAGCGGCCACAGCGGCAGAGCCAGGAGGGGCCACAGCCACCCCTCGGCCATCACTGCCAGCCAGTGCAGAGATGAGGCGGGGCCCTGGGCAGCCCGGGGTCCCAGTGCTGGCCAGGGGCTCTGGCCGGGACAGGCCCCGCGCAGGACGAGGACCCGGGCTCTGGTCGTGCTGGCTCCCAGCCCCCGCTGCCAGGCTCTGGCCATATAAGGCAGCGGTGGGCACCTCCTGGACTCGGCTCCGCCAGCCCCTGGGAACCAGCCTGGCCGGCCCCCAGGGACAGAGGCGGGAGGGGCTGGGCTGGGGGGAGGGGGCCTGGCCCAGCGCCCGCACAGGGTCCCCGCCAGCTCCCACAGCACAGCTGGGGCTGGGGACCCCGTGGGTCAGAAAGGAGGGGTGCGAGGGGGCCCGGGAGAGTCCAGCCGCCAGGCCCTCGCCTCGGACTCCCAGATATGGTCACAGACATTTGGGGGTCCCAGGTCCTTCCCCTGAGGCTGCTCCCCCAGGACTGGGCTCAGGGGGGAGATGGAGGTAGGGGGCCCCCACACAGCCCTCCACAGTGCCAGGGAGGTCGGAGGAGCCCAGGAGTGGCCGAGGTGCACTGGACAGGGACCCGGGCTCTCCACATCCCCACCTGGACCTTGCGCTGAGCCCCCACGCCTGAGCCAGCACCATGGCCAAGGGTGTGCTGGGGGCCAGGGGACCCTGCAGTGACTCAGAGTGCCCCTCTTCTCTTAGGGACAGCTGGATGACCCCGGAGGACTTTGCTGCAGTCTGGGGCAGAGTACAGGCCTCCCTACACGGGTGGGTGTGCAGTTGAGGGTCCCGTGAAACATGTGGGTGTGCAGCCCTGGGCCCCGGGACACAAGTGGGTGTGCAATTTGAGGGTCGCATAACACGGGTGGGCGTGCAGTTGAGGGTCCCGGTCACAAGAGGGTGTGCAGTCGAAGGTCCTGGGACGCAGGTGGGTGTGCAGCCCTGGGCCCCAGGACACAGGTGGGTGCGCAGTTGAGGGTCCCAGGACACAGGTGGGTGTGTACACAGGTAAGTACTCAGTCGCGGGCCCCAGCCAGGTGTGAGGGCTGCCTCGGAAGGAGGCTCCTGGGGGACCCATCCTTGGAGCTGGAGGGCTGTCAGGGGGGGCATACCCTGGACAGGGTGTGGGTCTGCCACATGGCCCCCCCCCGCGCTCTCCGCTCTCTTGCAAACCCTCGTCTGACCTCTTGGGCTCCCTGGCTGGGGTCCCTCCATGCCACCCTGGGGCTCCAGGCTGCTTTGTGGGGGTCGTGGGGCCCCCACTGTAAACATGGGGGTACAGTGGGGCGGATCGGGACCCTCCAGTCTCCGCCTGCCGCAGGGGTCACAGGAAGGCGGGACCCTGGGGCCAGCAGGGGGTGGGGGTGGGTGGGAAATGCGGTGTCCTGTGTGGGGGAACAATGGTGCAGAAGTCGGGGTCACGGCTCCATCTCTGGGCCTCAACTTTGGTGCTGTTCCCTCTGAGCACACCTGGCAGTGGGCACGGCACCTGTCCAGCCCCTCCAAGGCACTTTCTCCTGGGGTGCCCAGGATGACCCTTCCTGGTGGGGCAGCGCTGACCTAGGGCACCTCACCTGCCTGCCCTGCCCGTGCCAGGGCTACCCTCTGTCCTCTGGCAGTTCTCTGGGGCGCAGGGCTGGGGACAGGTGAGACACCTCCTGGGTGCCAGCGCTGTGGGCCCTGGGAAGGCAGCAGAGGGCCCAGCCGTCTCTGCAGGGGGCAGCTGGCACTGTCCCGGCAGGACGCTTCTGCCCAGTCCAGAGAGAAGGAGGCTCCCAGCACTGTGGGTCGGTGGGCTGGAGGCCAGCCGGTCTGGAAGATGTGTGCGGGACCGGCCAGGACCAAGTGGCTGTGGCCCCTCCCGACCGGGCGCCCGCACCCCGCCAGCCGGCCGGGAAGGGGAGAGGAGCAAGCCCCGCGCAGGGGCACGGCGCAAGTCGGCGACCAGAGGGATTTGTCGCTGGTCCCCGGCGGGGCTGCTCGGCCGGGCGTGGGCCGCTGACCGGCAGATGCCCGTGCTGGACCGGGCAGCGAGCAGGCCGGGGGAGCGCCCAAGGTCCGCGCAACTCGGGCGGAGCGGCGCACCGGGGGCGCGGGGCCGGCGCGGCAGGTGCCCCCGGCCAGGCGGGTGTCCGGCCCGGGGAGGCGGCGCGGCCCCCGCCGCGCCCCGCCCCGTCCCGTCCCTCCTCCCGCTCCCCGGGGCGCGGGGCCGGGGCGGGGCCTGACGTCCGCGGGGCGGGGAGCGGCCGGCGCGCTGCACACTGGCCGGGCTCGCGCGGCGCCGGGTGCCGGAGCGGGGGGCGGCGGCGGCAGAGGCGCGGGCGGCGGGCAGCGGGCGGCGGGCGGCGGGCGGCGGGCAGAGGCGCGGACGCGGGCAGAGGCGCGGGCGCGGGGGCGCACCATGGCGCGGCGGCTGCTGGCCGGACTGGCGCTGCTGGGCGCGCTGCGGGCGGCCGCGGGGGGCTTCAGCCTGCACCCCCCCTACTTCAACCTGGCCGAGGGCGCCCGCGTCCACGCCTCGGCCACCTGCGGCGAGGAGAGCCCCGCGCGCGGCGCCGCGCGCCCCACCGAGGACCTGTACTGCAAGCTGGTGGGGGGCCCGGTGGCCGGCGGGGACCCCAACCAGACCATCCAGGTGAGCGCGCGCGGGCCGGCCGGGGGGTGCTGGGGGGGGTGGGGAGCGGCGGGGACCCCAACCCGGCCACCCAGGTGAGCGCCCGCGGGTCGGGCCGGGGGGCGGCGGAGACCCCCCAACCCGGCCACCCAGGTGAGCGCGCGCGGGCCGGCCGGGGGGCGGTGGGGACCCCAACCCGACCGTCCGGGTGAGCGCGCGCGGGCCGGGCCGGTGAGGGGGCAGCGGGGACCCCAACCCGGCCACCCAGGTGAGCGCGCGCGGGACTGGACGGGGGGCGGCGGGGACCCCAACCCGACCGTCCAGGTGAGCGCGCGCGGGCGGCCCGGGCCGGGGGGGGCGGCGGGGACCCCAACCCGACCATTCAGGTGAGCGCGCGGGACGGGACGGGGCCAGCTCGGGCCTGCCGGGGCGCTGGGCGCGGCCCCGATCCGGGCCTGGGCGGGTTCGAGGTGTGGGCGCAGGTGGCCCCGAGGGACCTGGGGCGTCTCCCCAAAGTCTGGAGCCGGCGGGTGGGGAGCAAGTTAGGTGGCCTGGGGGCGGCCAGCTGGGGGCCCCGAGCCCCCGTGAGGCCCCTCCGCAGAGAGTGGGGGCGGGGTGGGTCCCCTGGCGGCTGTAACCCGAGCCGCCTCCCGGGACGGCCCCACCTTCCTGCGCGGGGGAGGGGCGAGGCTGGGAATGAGGGGCCCGAGGTGGGGGAGGGTCAGAGCCGGGACCCCTGCAGCCACAGCATGGTCTGGGGTCCTGGGGAGGAGCTCAGACTGTCCCCAACAGTCTGAGCCCCTGAGACTGCCCCCTGCAAGCCCTAGGGTCTCTTCCTCCTGCCCACGCGGGACGGATGGAGGGGCGCCCCCAGCCCGGTCCTGCGCCCTGTTGCTCGGGGACCGCTGTAAGGGCAGAGGCTGGCGGTCCCGGCGGCCCCCGCTGCCCCAGTTCTCAGCCTGGTCACTCCTTTCCCCCGGGCCAGTGTTGGGGTGGCCTGTGGCGGGGGCGCTGGGGGCTTGCAGACCCCAGCCGGGGACCCTCCTGCTGACCCCACCTCCCCCAGATCCCAGCCCTTTCTCTCATTTTTTGCTTTTTGGGTCACACCCGGCGATGCTCAGGGGTTCCTCCTGGCTCTGCACTCAGGAATCAATCCTGCCAGTGCTTGGGACTGTTCGGGGTGCCTGGGATCGAACCCGGCTCTGCCGTGAGCCAGACAAACGCCCTCCCCGCTATGCTGTCCGCCCCCACCCCAGCCATTTTTGCGAACAGCAGTGGAGGGTCCGGCGGGGTCTCATGAGGACTCAGGTGGGCACGGGGAGGCCTGGACCCCCCTTGTAGTGACTCATGGGGTCACTTTGCGCTGCCATTTCCTCGCTTTGTTCCTGACAGGACACTCTGGGGAAGCGAGGTGGACCCTGGTGGGGCGGGGCACCAGACCAGGAGACCCCTGCAGTGACCGCAGGGGTCAGAACTGCCCTTCTGGGCAGGGCAGACGGGAAACCCTTCTGGGTCTTGACCCCTGCTCCTGCCCGTCCCGAGCCCCCGACCACCCCAGCTGAGCCCCCCGCCACAGCACCTGAGCCGGAGAGTGTCCTGCATTGTTTCAGGGCCTGTTGCCACCTGTGGGCAGTGGGCTCGGACCCTGACGCTTGGCCGGGGAGGGAGGAGCGTCCATGGCCGGCCATTGGCTTCCTGGGGAGATAAATCAGACTTGTGGCAGGGAGGGGCAGATCGGCACGCTGGGTGGTCCGAGGCGCCAGGGGTCCGAGGGGGGGCCCAAGGAGGCAGCCAGGGGACATGCCCTGGCGGGGGACGGGGGGGGGGGGCGGTGGGCACGCAGGGGGGTCCCAGGAGCTCGCAGAAGGTGCACCCGGAAGCAGACGCAGGCAGGTGGGGGGGGCCTTGGGGGCCAAGAGTGGGGCTCTCCGGGGTGAGGCCCGCCCCGAGCGCCGTTCCCAGAGGCCTCTCCTGGCCCCGGTCCCTGCCGGAGAGCCTTTGTGTGCCCAGGGCGGTCGGGCAGCTTTGCTTTCCGGCGGCGGGGGCGGGGCACCGGGGCCCAGCACTGCCCCTCCCCCCGGGGCTGCCGGGACTCGGCTCCGCAGGGCCTGGCCCCGCCCTCACGCCCCTCCCCCCAGGACCGGTCCCGGACAGGTGGCCTCGGTGGCGCGGGTGGCCCCCACTGGTCAGGGGCCGTGACTTGGCCCAAGGCCAGGGCTTGGAAGTGACCGAGCAGGAGGCCCAGATGGCCCCCACGCCCCACTCGCGCCTGTCCCTCCAGGCTGCAGCCCCTGAGGACCCCAGCGGGCCTGGCGGGGGAGGGGCGCAGTGGGCATCAGGGCTGACCGGTGCTGTCTGCCGGCCATTCTCACATGGCCCTTCCATGACCCCCGTGAGGCCTGTTGGCCGGGGACAGGCGTGTACGTGACGGCCCGGCGGTAGCAGAGACGCCCCCGCCCCACTTCACCTCCTGCCGGCCCCCGGGTCTGCATCCCCCTGAGTGCCAGCCTCCTGCCCGCAGGGCCAGTACTGCGACATCTGCACGGCGGCCAGCAGCAAGAAGGCGCACCCCGCCAGCCATGCCATCGACGGCACGGAGCGCTGGTGGCAGAGCCCGCCGCTGTCCCGTGGCCTGCAGTACAACGAGGTCAACCTGACGCTGGACCTGGGCCAGGTACGGCCGGACCCTGCAGCCCCTGCTGGCCGCTGACCCAGGAATTCCTGCGCTGGGAGCCGCCTGAGGGAGGGCCTGGAATGCGCGGGTGGGGGCGGCCGGGGCTGGGCAGGCAGCTGGGGCCCAGCTCAGGTGTGACAAGCAGGTGTGGCCGCACCTCTCTTCCCTGGCCAGGGGCAGGGGGCTGCCCCCAGGGCTCAGATCCTATCACCTGCCTGGAATTTCCTGAGGCCCCTCTGGAGGCCTGGCAGGTGGCTGGAGGGGGAGGGGCGTGCTGTGTGGGGCCTGGCTTGGGGTGGGGGCTCTCCCCTCTCCGCCCGGCAGGACACGTCCTGCCTCTCCCAGCTCAGTTTCCCTAGGCGCAAACGTGGAGGAGACAGGTGGCGTTTCGCCTCTGCCTTCCGCCCCTGTCTCCTTTTCCTCCCCCGTCCCACGTGGCAGAGCAGCGGGGTCAGCCCTAACCCATTGCTGCGGGGTCACTGGGTCAGGCGCGGCTGGGGTGGGGTCGGGCATCGCTTCCTGCACGCATGAACGGTTCCATGAACAGTTCCGGAGGAATTTCCCCAGAAACGCGCGTGAGCTCTGGCCCCAGGGTCCCTGCTCTGCGCCCCCAGGGGGGCTGGGAAGTGGCCAGTCTGGGGTCGCCTGGTGTGGCAGGGGGCACTCCAGCAGGGGCCGCACAGGGCGGGGCAGGGTGGACCCCAGGCTGCCTCCCTGGGCGCCAAGCTTTGCTTCGGGGGCTGGGCAGGCAGGAAGCGGCCCCAGGCCTCCGGGTGCCATTGTCCGGCTCTGGACGATGCCAGGGAGGGGCGGCCCTGGCCTTCAGCCTTCACGAGTCTTCCTGCGTGACTGGCCACTCCCCGCCCGGCCGCCCAGTGCTGCCCTGTCCTGTGGCTGCCTCCCACCCCGTCCTGGGGTTCAGCTGAGCTTCCTTCTGATCCGATTGTCCTCCCAGGCAGGTCATCTGCTTCCTTCCCCCGGCCACTGTGTGCGGGAGGGATGGGCAGGGCCCAGGCCTGCCCCACCGGCCCGGCGGGGGCTGAGCCTGGTGGCCTGCAGAGCCTCTGGGAGTCCAGGCCCTGCCCGCCCGGCCGAGCTGGCCCTGCAGCTCCCTGTTTTTGGGGGGGATATACAGGCCCGTGGTCGCCCCTGGAGGCCGGAGCAGGGTGGACCACACAGGGTTAAATGGGTTAGGATGGGGGTCTTGGTCGCATGTGGTGCGGGTGGCTGAGGGCTGGCCCTCGAGGGCTGCCTCTCAGGAAGGGTTCCCGGGGTAACAGGTGCCAGCCCAGCACCTCCCGTCAGCAGGATGCAGGGACACACCTCAGCCCCAGGCCCCAGGAATGCCCTCGGCTCGCCTCCTGCCCACGGGCTCCGCTGGGCACGCGGCCATGTGGCCAGTGCCCCGGGTGAGCCTGGCCAGGCGCGGGCAGGAAGTGAGGTCGAGACTGGCTGGGCTCCGGTTACTAGGACAGGTGGGGGCTGGCGCTGGAGGCTCCTGCCGGCCCGGGGACGCCAGAGTCCACCATAGCCCACCCACTTCACGGGCCCCCGGTGCCTCCCACACAGACCCCTGGGTGCCCCCCACATGGGCCCCCAGGTGTCCCCCATGAGCCTCACTCCGTCCTGTGTTCCGGGGGCTCCTCCCTGACCCCTCACATGGCCCCAAGCTGCCCGGCAGAGACTAAACTGCGGTTTCCGGGCCCTTGGGATAAACTGCATTTCCTGTGGCCAGATGGCCTGGGGGGGCCTGGCTGAACCCCCAGCCAGCCCCCTCAGGGCTCCTGGGCCTCTCACTGGGGAGGATCCTCCCACAGCGGTGTCTCTGGGCCTGCCTGCCCTGTCCCATCCCTGTGCCCACCCTGACCCCGTCCCTGACCACGACCCTCTCCCCTACCCAGTCCTGTCGCTGACCCCATCCGCGTCCCTGACCCCATCCCTGACCACGACCCCATCCTCATCCTCATCCCCGTCCCTGACCCTGTCCCTGACCCCGACCCCATCCCTGATCCCGGCTCCAATCCCGGCTCCATCCTTGACTCCAACCCCATTCCCGACCCTGACCCTGTCTCCACCTCCAGCTTCAATCCCGGCCCCATCCCATCCCTGACCCCGACCCTGTCCCAGACCCCCGTCCCCAGTCCTTCCTGTCCCCAGCCTGGGCCACCACCCCATCCCTGTCCCTGTCCATCTCCTTGGAGGTGGCGGCGGGTCTGGCCGTCCGTCCCTCCGCCTGTGCTGGCTGGTGTCTTGCCCAGGGATGGGGCAGGGTGGACGTGAGAGGGCCCTGGGGCCACGGCACAGGTAGTTTCAGGCCCAGGCCTGGGGGGCCAGCCAGCAGTGGGGGCACCGGGCGCGGGGGCACTCCTGCCCCCACCTCAGCCAGGCCTGTCCACCCTGGGCCTTGGCATGGGACCACTTCCCCCGCTGAGTCACGCCCGCCGTGACTCACTGCCCCTTCCTCCCTCCCGCCCGGGGCTCCCCACGAGCGCTGCCAGCAGGGTCACACCCCCCGGCCTCTGGGGGACCCGGGGCCACGTTTTCCCACGTTTCTTCGCTGCACCGGGCCAGCCCTGCTGCTCACCGTTGCGTGACCGGCCCAGGCCCTGCCCCTCTCGCACAACGCCCCAAGGCCACGGCCCCTTGAGCCCCGCAGGACCCTCTGCTTGGGGCTGGTGTGGGCCCGGAGGCGGGCGGGCCGCCGTCCTGGAAACGTGCCTACCCCGAAATAACCAGATTTTTAAAAATAACTCGACAGCCTCTTGTTTGGCTTTTGCTTTCAGGGACTTTTCCTCCCTGCCCAGAACCGTGCTCCTCGGGAAAGGTCAGCCCGTGCTGGAGGCGGGGCTGGGCCAGGGGCCTGGGGTCCAATGGTCAGGCACCCCACCCTGGCCCAGGCCTGAACGCCGCGAGTAGATCCACGCCGGGCCTGGGGTCACGCGGTGACCAGCAGGGGGGCAGCCTCGCGTGGCCGCCGCACGCGTGCTCTCAGCGGGCAGGAATGCTCGGCCGCACGGCCTGGGAAAGGCGGGGGCGAGCCAGCTGTCCCCGTCCCCACAGCCTGTGTCCGTCTCACACCCCGCCCGCCTCGCACACCCTCCTGCACCCGCTGGGGCCACGGGGGCCCCGCAGTGGGTCAGAGGGCCTGCAGTATTGGGGTCCTGGGATCTCGCCCCCACTGCCCCGGGCCCGGCCTGACCCTTCCCTGCCACAGGTGTTCCATGTGGCTTATGTGCTCGTCAAGTTTGCCAACTCTCCGCGGCCCGACCTGTGGGTGCTGGAACGTTCCACCGACTTTGGCCTCACCTACCAGCCCTGGCAGTTCTTTGCCTGTGAGTGGGGGATGCCCACGGGGGTCCTGGGGTCACTGCCAATGTCCTGGCCGCCAGCCTGTCCCACTGTGGCCACAGGGCAGGTCTGTGGGCACCCTGGGCAGGTGGATTGGGAGTTCCTGCCCTGCCCCGAACCTGGCCAGTGCCAGAGTGTGTCTCCTGGGTGCGTTGGCTGGGGCCTCCCTGGGCACAACATCGCTGCCCCTCCCTGCTGCTAGCCCCGCCCCTGCTGCTACCCCCCTGCTCAGCCCCACCCAATGCTCTGTTAGCCCCTCCCCTCCGCTAGCCCCGCCCTCTGCGCTGTAGCCCCGCCCCACAGTTTCTCTGCCCCGCCTTCTGCTCTGTAGCCCCGCTCCGGCTCCGTTGGCCCCGCCCCACAGCGGCTCTGATCCCGCCCCTTCTCCGTTAGCTCCGCCCCACAGCTGCTCTGCCCCCGCCCTCTGCTCTGTAGCCCCGCCCCTGCTCCGTTAGCCACGCCCCACAGCGGCTCTGATCCCGCCCCTTCTCCGTTAGCTCCGCCCCACAGCTGCTCTGCCCCCGCCCTCTGCTCTGTAGCCCCGCCCCTGCTCCGTTAGCCACGCCCCACAGCGGCTCTGATCCCGCCCCTTCTCCGTTAGCTCCGCCCCACAGTTTCTCTGCCCCGCCTTCTGCTCTGTAGCCCCGCCCCGGCTCCGTTGGCCCCGCCCCACAGCGGCTCTGATCCCGCCCCTTCCCCGTTAGCCCCGCCCCACAGCTGTTCTGCCCCCGCCCTCTGCTCTGTAGCCCCGCCCCTGCTCCGTTAGCCACGCCCCACAGCGGCTCTATCCCGCCCCTTCTCCGTTAGCTCTGCCCCACAGCTGCTCTGCCCCCGCCCTCTGCTCTGTAGCCCCGCCCCTGCTCCATTAGCCACGCCCCACAGCGGCTCTGATCCCGCCCCTTCTCCGTTAGCCCCGCCCCACAGCTGCTCTGCCCCCGCCCTCTGCTCTGTAGCCCCGCCCCGGCTCCGTTAGCCCCGCCCCACAGCTACTCTGCCCTGCCCTGCAGCCCCCACCTGCGCCTCGCCCGCCTGTGCCCGGCCCCCCATGCCCCGCCCCGCGGCCCCCTGCCCCGCCCCCCTCCGCTGCTCTGCCAGCCTCGCCCGTTTCCAGCCTCGCGCAGAGACTGCCTGGAGCGCTTCGGGCCCCGGACGCTGGAGCGCGTGGAGCAGGACGACGACGTGGTGTGCAGCACCGAGTACTCGAGGATCGTGCCGCTGGAGAACGGCGAGGTGGGGCGCGCCCCGGGGAGCCCGGCCGGCCGGCCGCTGCGGGCTGGGCGCAGCCTGACCTGCCGCCCGCCCGCAGATCGTCGTGTCCCTGGTGAACGGGCGCCCGGGCGCCAGGAACTTCTCCTACTCGCCGCGGCTGCGCGACTTCACCAAGGCCACCAACATCCGCCTGCGCTTCCTGCGCACCAACACGCTGCTCGGACACCTCATGGGCAAGGCGCTGCGCGACCCCACGGTCACGCGCCGGGTGAGCGGGCGGGGACCCCGGGCGGGGCGCGGGGGCGGGGGCAGGGTTCAGGCGGGGCCCCGGGGCGGGGCGCAGTTGGGGACCCCCGGGGCGGGCGCGGCAGATTGGGCGCCGCTCACCGGTGTGCGTTGCAGTACTACTACAGCATCAAGGACATCAGCGTGGGCGGCCGCTGTGTCTGCCACGGCCACGCAGATGCTTGTGACGCCCACGACCCCACGGACCCCTTCAGGTGAGTCCCTCGCATTGCCGCGCCCCAGCCCCACGCTGTCTGCCAGCACCCCTGCCCCCGACCCCCAGCAGTCTCCCTCAGGGCCGGCGGCTGCTGACCGCCTTCCCTCCCGGAGCCCCCACGCCGTTTCCATGTCCTGGAGGTTGTGAGATCCCCTTGCCCGTCCACGCGGCCGCGAGTGGCCCCTCCTGGGCCCGAGGGTCTGGCTGTACCTTGTCACTGCATGGGCGACGGTCCCACTGGGCCTCCACCTTGGTCCGGCCCTTCGCGGGGTGGGCGGGTCACTGCCCAGGCTCTCCCGTGCTTCCCCCGCCCCGTGTACAGTTGTGGGGGCGGGCTCTGCAGGGTGGGCCTAGCGGGAGGTGACGCAATCTCGCCTCCTGCGTCCAGCTGTCTCCTGGCCCCCCAGGCCAGCAGGCGCTGCCGTTCAGGACCCCGGGCACAGCTCCAACTCAACGTCCGCCCCCGGCGGCAGGAGGAAGCAGCCCTGGCCACCTGCCCGGGGAGCTGCTGGGCACTGGGGCGCCAGGCTGAGTGAGGTCACTGGGCAGTGAGGTCACTGCTCTGGGAGTGACCGCCACACTCACCCTGTGGAGACCCTGCTCCCGGCTCTCTGGTCCTGAGCCCACCGTGGTCCAAGCCGTCCCTGGCCCTGGTCCCCACCTCGCGCCCGTGTCCCCTCAGGCTGCAGTGCGCCTGCCAGCACAACACGTGTGGGAGCTCCTGTGACCGCTGCTGCCCCGGCTTTAACCAGCACCCGTGGAGGCCAGCGACCGCTGACAGTGCCAACGAGTGCCAGTGTGAGTGCCCCACACACGTGCACACACGCGCGTGCAGTGTAGACCTGAGCTCGCGGCACAGAGGTTCCTTAGCTACACGCGTGACTCGCACTACAGTGGGTGCCCACGGGACGTGGCGTGTGCCGGGGTCCCGGCCGCTGATTGCGCGTCCTTACTGCAGCCTGCAACTGCCACGGCCACGCCCACGACTGCTACTACGACCCCGAGGTGGACCGGCTCCACGCCAGCCAGGACCTGGAGCAGGTCTTCCGGGGCGGCGGCGTGTGCATCGACTGCCAGGTGGGTCCCTGCGGCGGCTGGGTGGGGCGGGGGGCTGGTGGGGTGCTCTGGACTGAGACCCCGCCCCCGCAGCACCACACCACCGGCATCAACTGTGAGCGCTGCTTGCCCGGCTTCTACCGCGACCCCGACCACCCCCTGGACTCCCCACAGGCCTGTCGCCGTGAGTAGGCCCAGCCGGTCGGGGTGCTGTGGCCACCTCCCGCGGCCTCCACCCTGCCCACACTGGACCCCCACACCACCTGACCCATCTCCCCTGGGCCCCTGGACCCCACAGCTCTGGGCCTGGGGCCTCCCCGGCCCCATGCCCTCACCTCTGCCCCCGCCAGGCTGCCAGTGCGACTCGGACTTCACTGACGGGACGTGCGAGGACCTGACCGGCCACTGCTATTGCCGCCCCAACTTCACGGGCGAGCGCTGCGATGCGTGTGCCGACGGCTTCCTGGGCTTCCCCCAGTGCTACCGTGAGTCCCTGCCCGGCAGGCTGGCAGCAGGGGGTGGCCCAGGGCCCTCGGTGTGGCGGCTCCTGCTGACTGTGGCCGCGTCCCCGCAGCTGTGGCCTCCTCCCCCAACGACACCGGAGAGCAGCAGTCGCCGGCCGGGCAGATCGTGAGTGAGTGTCTCCTGGGCCGGGGCCCAGAGCGGTTGGAGGCTGCAAAGGTGGATCTCGGCCTGGAGCACCTGTCCCTGCCGTGGACAGCCCCAGCCGTGGCTGCCGGGGCTCTCTCTGCTCAGCTGTGGCAGGCCGCTCCGGACAGAGCACACCTTCTCGTCCGGTGGCTGCTCACGGCCACCAGGAGGAAGCGAGGGCCAGCCCTGCCCCTGGGGAGACCCTGCGAACCAGCTGGCGGCCAGTCTGCCCGACTCTGAGGCCTACACTCAGCCCACCCCTGTGTCCACCCCTGCTTTCGGCCCAGAGTCGGCCACATGCCCGCCCGGGCGGCTGTGTTGCGGTTCTGCGGGCTGCAGGCTGGGAGCGGCCGAGCCCTCCTGGTTCCGGGGCTTGGTGGAGCCCGCGCTGACCAGCCCCTCGGGCAGCGTCCATGGCGCCTTGGGCACAGGGCCTCTGCCCCGTCTTAGGCACTGTCTCAGCTGCTCGCCGGGAACCTGCTCTGCTGTGGGGACGGTTGTGTCAGGGGCAGGGGCAGGGGTCTGCCAGGCGCTGGCTCCTCCCTCTCCTGGGACCTCATCCTCCTCCTGACCCCCGGGATCTGGGCTCTAACAGCCTGTTCCATGGCCCTCGGGGCTCTCTGGCCCGTCCGGCTGTGCTTGCCCCCCCTCCCCCGCGGGCGCCGTGGGCTCTGCGCATTTCCCTGACGTCAGCGCATTTCTCTGACGCAGCTGCTGACCGGCAGGAAGGAGACAGCGGCCTCTGCGGGTCTGGCTGGGGGCTGGTGGGCACTTCCTTCTGGGCTGTTCCAGGGGCTTCCCCATCTCCTGTTCCCACAGCCATCACTCTGCTCTTTAGACAGATGTCGTGTTGTTTCTGTTTGGGGTGACGGGGCTGCTCCTGGCTATGCCCCGGGCCTCGCTGCCACGCCCTCTGCTGTGCCCACGGGCAGGAGTGCCAGCTGCCGCCTGCCCTCGCCCACCCAGGCCAGTGCCTGGAGCGTCCGTAGTGGCGGCTTTCTTCCCGCTCTCCTTGGGGCCCCTCTGGGTGTGACCCTGTGCCGGGGGTGGGGGACTGGGTGCTGGAGGCTCGGTGGCGGCACCTGAGACGGTCCTTGTCCCCAGACTGTGACTGCAGCGCCGCGGGGACTGAAGGGAACGCGTGCCGGAAGGACCCGCGGCTGGGGCGCTGCGTGTGCAAACCCCACTTCCAGGGCGCCCACTGCGAGCTCTGTGCTCCCGGCTTCTACGGCCCCAGCTGCCAGCGTGAGTGTGGCTGGTCCCGTGCCCCGATGTCCGTGGAGCCCGTGTCCCCGCGCCCCGTGACCCTGTGCTCCCTGATGCCCTCCCGGCCCGGCCCCCGCCGTCCCCCGTGGCACTGACACTGGCCCGGCCCGCAGCGTGCCTGTGCTCCAGCCCCGGAGTGGCTGACGGACTCTGCGACCAGGACTCCGGGCACTGCGTGTGCCGCACGGGCTTCCAGGGTGCGGCGTGTGACCGCTGCGCCCCCGGCTACTTCCACTTCCCCCTCTGCCAGCGTGAGTGCCCCCTGCCCTGGGAGCCAGGGGGGCGCCGGGAGTGCCCCCGCTGGCCGCCTCGCTCAGGCCTCTCTCCCCGCAGTGTGCGGCTGCAGCCTCGTGGGGACCCTCCCGGAGGGCTGTGACCAGGAGGGACACTGCCTGTGCCGGCCGGGCTTCGCCGGCCCCCACTGCGACCGCTGCGGGCCAGGCCACCACGGCTACCCCGAGTGCCAGGGTGAGCGGGGGACGGCCCCCCCCCCCGCCCCGCGCCCCCGCCCCGCGCCCCGCCTGACCCGCATCTCTGCAGCCTGCAGCTGCGACCCGCAGGGCGCCCTGGACCAGCCCTGCGGCCCCACGGGCCTGTGCCGCTGCCGCTCCGGCTACACCGGCCCCACCTGCGGCGAGTGCAGCCCCGGCTTCCACGGCTTCCCGGACTGCGCGCGTGAGCACCGCCCCCCAGGCCCACCCCCGCCCGCCCCGCCCAACCCGCACCAGGCTGGGCCGCCCCGCCCCTCCTTCCCGCCCTCCCCAGCTTGCCCCGCCCACACACTGCCCCACCCACCGCCTGCCCCGCCCCCGTCCCTCTCAGCCTGCCCCGCCCTCCACAACCTGCTCCGCCCCTTGTCCCGCCCACAGCCTGCCCCGCCCTCCACACAGCCTGCCCTGACCCGCCCACAGCCTGCCCCGCCCACAGCATGTCCTGCCTCTTCCACATATTGCCCCGCCCATAACCTGCTCCACCCCTTGCCATGCCCACACCCTGCCCCGCCCACATCCTGCCCCACCCTCCCCAGCTTGCCCCGCCCACACATTGCCCCACCCACCGCCTGCCCCGCCCCCTGTCCCTCTCAGCCTGCCCCGCCCTCCACAACCTGCTCCGCCCCTTGTCCCGCCCACAGCCTGCCCCGCTCACAGCATGTCCTGCCCCTCCCACATATTGCCCCGCCCATAACCTGCTCAGCCCCTTGCCATGCCCACATCCTGCCCCACCCACGCCCTGCCCCGCCCTCCACAGCTTGCCCCGCCCCTGCCCCTCCTACAGCCTGCCCCGCCCTCCAGAGCTTGCCACACTCCCATGCCCACAGCCCCTTCTCGCCCCCAGCCTGCCACTGCTCCCCTGAGGGTGCCCAGCACGGCTTCTGCGACCCCCAGAGCGGCCAGTGCAGCTGCCGGCCTCACGTGACAGGTCTGCGGTGTGACACATGTGTGCCCGGCGCCTATGGCTTTCCCCGCTGTGAAGGTGGGTGGGGCCTGTGCCCCCTGCGTGTTCTGGGACCCGGTGGTGTCCCCGGGATGACTGTGCGTTCAGGCATGTGTGCGGCTCCCATGTGTGTCCCCTGCCGTGTGCTGCGACTGTGCCGTGTGTGTGCATGTCCCAGTGCTGTGCCTTGGGCCGTGTGTCCCTTTGCTGAGTGCACGTGACCAGAAACCGTGTGTCCCCTGTGTGGGAGGGGGACTGCATGGCCGGGCCATGCAGTCTCCCCACTGCCCTCTGGGCGTCTCCCCACAGTGGGCTCCTGCCATCCAGCCGGCCTGGACCTGAGCCTGCCCCAGCCTCCCGAGGTGAGTGGGTCGGTGCCAGCCCTGGGTCCCTGTGCCGCGGCCCTCCGAGGGCACCACACCCCCATCTGACTGAGGCTCCCCGACCCCGTCTCCCACCCTCCCTGGCGCAGGGCTCCTGCGTGTGCCGGCCTCACGTCGAGGGGCCCAGCTGTGACCGCTGCCAACCGGGCTTCTGGGGACTGAGCGCCGCCAACCCTGAGGGCTGCACGCGTGAGTCCGGGTGCAGGGGGAGCGCAGGGCCTGGTGGGAGGTCGGCCCTGCGCTCCGCCCTCACGCCGTCTGCCCCCCAGGCTGCAGCTGTGATGCCAGGGGCACGCTGGGCGGAGGGACCGACTGCCAGCAGGTGAGTGTGCTGTGTGTGGGTGGGCACGGGGGTCCCGCGGGCCCTGCCCTACCCACAGCCCCGTTCCCCCGCCCCAGGGTAGCGGCCAGTGCTTCTGCAAGGCCCACGTGTGCGGCCAGACATGCGGGGCGTGCCGAGACGGCTTCTTTGGGCTGGACCGCGCCCACTACTTCGGCTGCCGCAGTGAGTGGCCGCTTGGCTTTGGCTCTCCTGGGACCCCCAGCGGACGTGCCCGGTGGGAGTGTGGGTGCCCCACGGGGAGCTGAGCCATTCCTCCCGCAGGCTGCCGCTGTGACGTCGGCGGGGCGCTGGGCCAGGGCTGCGATGCCCAGACGGGCGCCTGCCGCTGCCGCCCCAACACGCAGGGCCTCACCTGCAGCGAGTGCGTGTCCGGGCCCCGGGGGGAGCGGGGCGGGCAGGATGGGCTCTCGGGGCCCCCTGACGTGCCGCCCCTGCCAGGCCCGCGCCGGACCACTTCCTGCCGGACCTGCACCACTTCCGCCTGGAGCTGGAGGAGGCCACGACGCCCGCCGGCCTGCCCGTGCGCTTCGGCTTCAACCCCCTGGAGTTCGAGAGCTTCAGCTGGCGCGGCTATGCCCAGATGACGCCCATCCAGGTGCGCCCCGGCCCAGGCTCAGGAGGGCCAGTGAGCTGGTGGGCAGGGCCCGAGGGTGACCCGGCGCTCTGCCCCCAGCCCAGGATCGTGGCCAGGGTGAACGTGACCTCCCCCGACCTCTTCTGGCTCGTCTTCCGCTACGTCAACCGCGGGCCCTCGAGCGTGAGCGGGCGAGTGTCTGTGAGAGAGGACGGCAGGTTTGCCGCCTGTGCCAACTGTGAGTCTGGGCACAGCCCCGCCTGCCCCGGGCCTGCTCCCTCCCCCCGCCCCCCACCCCACCCCAACCCCGTCCCCACCTCCACCTCGCCCCGTCCACGTCCACGCCCTGCCCCCCCACCGCACCCCGGAGGCAACCCCGGGCTGGCACCCAGCGGCCTCCACTGTGACCCAGGCACGGAGCAGAGCCAGCCACTGACCTTCCCGCCCAGTACGGAGCCCGCCTACCTGGCCGTGCCTCAGAGGGGCTTCGGAGAGCCCTTCGTGCTGAACCCCGGCACCTGGGCCATGGAGGTGGAGGCCGAAGGGGTCCTGCTGGTGAGGAGGGGCTGCCGGGGTGGGCGGGCCGCGCGGGCCGCGTGGGCGCAGCGCCTACATGGCCGGCTCTCCCCCAGGACCACGTGGTGCTGCTGCCCAGTGCCCACTATGAGGCGGCCGCGCTGCAGCTGCGGGTCACTGAGCCCTGCAGCTACCGGCCGTCGGCCCAGCGCCCTAGGGACAGGTGAGACCCCTCTACCCTGCTGCTGGGGACGGGCAGACCACCCTGCCTCCCGCTGACCGCACGCACTGTGTCCCCAGCTGCCTGCTCTACACCCACCTGCCCCTGGACGGCTTCCCCTCGGCTGCAGGGTCCAGCGCCCTGTGTCGCCACGGCAACAGCCTGCCGCAGCCCTGCCCCATGGAGCAGCTCAGCTCCTCACACCCGCCTCTGGCGGCCTGTCTGGGCAGTGACGTGAGTGTCTGCGAGCGAGGCCAGGAGGGTCGTGGGGGGGCTGCCGCGTCTGGGGGCTTCTCAGCCAGAAACCGGCTGCTGCCCGCAGGTGAGCGTCCAGCTGCAGCTGCGAGTCCCGCAGGCCGGACGCTACGCCCTGGTGCTGGACTATGCCAATGAGGACGGCCGCCAGGAGGCAGGCGTGGCTGTGCACAGCCCCCAGCGGGGCCCGCAGCGGGGCACGCTCACCCTGCACCCCTGCACGTACAGGTGTGTGTGGCAGGCCCGGGCTGGCGCGGAGACGGGTGGCGGCCCGTTCCCAGTGCTGACTGTCTACGCCCTGTCCAGCACCCTGTGTCGGGGCACTGCCCTGGATGCCCAACACCACCTGGCCGTCTTCCACCTGGACTCCGAGGGCAGCATTGAGCTCACGGCCGAGCAGGCCCGCTTCTTCCTGGTGAGGCCCCTCCCTCACCCGCCGGCCCCCGCCCAGGCCCTGCCCTGTGCCCCCGTGGCTGCCATGCCAGGCTCTCTGGCAGTGGAGCCAAGTGGGCAGGCGGCATTCACAGCCACGGGAGTGGGTGCAGGGATGGCTGCGATGGACAGGGGTGTCCTCAGAACCCGAGGGCTGGCAGCCACACCGACGCGCACCCCTTTACCTGCAGCACGGCGTCACCCTGGTCCCCGTGGGGACCTTCAGCTTGGAGTTCCTGGAGCCACGCCCTTGGTGCACCAGCAAACACGGAGACTTCAACCCCAGCAGGTGGCGGAGCGGCCTGGGGGGTGCGGGGGTGCTGTCCCGGAGTGGGACTCACCCCTGCCCCCCACAGTGCCGCCTGCCTGCCTTCCCGCTTCCCCAAGCCGCCGCAGCCCATCCTGCTCAGGGACTGCCTGGTGCTGCCCCTCCCGCCCGGCCTCCCTCTGGCCCACGCCCAGGACCTCCCCCCAGGCACACCTCCAGCCGGGCCACAGCCTCAGCCCCCCACCGCAGTGGAGCCCGACGCAGCGCCCACGCTGCTCCGCCACCCCCAGGTGGGGGCCGGGGCTGGGGCGAGACGGGTGGGCGCCGGGCAGCCCCCCAGGACCCCTGGGCTCATTGCAGCTTTCGTCCACAGGGCACGGTGGTCTTCAGCACCCATGTGCCCACCCTGGGCCGCTATGCCTTCCTACTGCATGGCTACCAGCCGGCTCACCCCACCTTTCCCGTGGAGGTGCTCATCAATGGGGGCCGCGTCTGGCAGGGTGAGTGCTGACGGGCACTGGGCGCCCCGCAGTCAGCAGCCGGCCCTGCCTGTCCTGCCCTGCCCCACGCCCCCCAGGGCCCTGCCCCTCCCATGGCCCCGCCCTCCAAGGCCTGGCCCTTCATTGGCCCCGCCCTCCTGCCCCTCTTCAGCCAGGCCCTTCCGGACCTGTCCCTTTTGTGACCACGCCCTCCCCACACCCCGCCCCCCCAACCATGCCCCTTCCACGGCCACACCCTCTGTGACCACGCCCTCCATGACCACGCCCTGTTCGTGGCCGTGCCCACGCCCTCCCTAGCCACGCCCTTTACGAGGCCACGCCCTCCCCACACCCCGCCCCTAACCATGCCCCTTCCACGGCCACACCCTCTGTGACCACGCCCTCCATAACCACGCCCACGCCCTCCCTAGCCACGCCCTTTACGAGGCCACGCCCTCCCCAGACCCCGCCCTCCCGCGACCACGCCCTCTGTGACCCTGCCCTCTGCGGCCACACCCTCTCCAGACCCAGCCCCCTCGACCACGCCCCTGCGGCCACACCCTCAGACCACGCCCTCCACAGCCACGCCTCTCGTGGCCACACCCTCCCGACCCCTTCTTGACCGTGCCCTTCGTGACCACGCCCTTTGCGCGGCCACACCCTCCACAGACCCTCGCCCTCCTGTGACCACGCCCTCCCCGACCGTGCCCCTTTCACAGCCACACCCTCCCCAGACCCCGCCCCTTCGCAGGTCCCACTCCTGGCCACGTTCACCAATCAGGGATCACCCTTCCCAGACCTGTCCGACTTCCCTGGCGTTTGCCTCGCCCCTGAGCAGCCCAGCCTGGGGTGGTGCTGAGGGAGCAGCCTGGCCCTGCAGGAGACTCATGTTCCTGCGCGGGCCACGTGTCACGGCTGCTCATTGGCCGTGGGCGCGCCATCTCTTCAGTGGGCCAGGCGGGCTGGTGCCTGGAGCCACCGTGCCGTCCGTTTGTCCTCAGGCCATGCCAATGCCAGCTTCTGCCCCCATGGCTATGGCTGCCGTGCCCTGGTGATGTGTGAGGGCCAGACGGTGCTGGACGTGACGGACAGCGAGCTGACAGTGACTCTGCGCGTGCCTGAGGGCCGCTGGCTCTGGCTGGTGAGTCCATGCTGGTCGTCCTGCTGTTGGCTGAGGTGTGACCCCCCCCCCCTGCCAAGGCCCAGCTCCCCGCCGGGTGCAGGCCAGCACCAGGGACTGAAGGTGCCAGCATTTGTGGCCAGCCCATGCGGGCCCATGGGTCAGGAGGGCCTTCTTGGAGAAGGTGACCTGTGGCAGAGTGGAGAGGCCACGGATCCAGAGTCCTTGACGGTCTTAGCTGTCTGGCTGGGTCCTGGCCAGCAGAGATTCTGGGGTGCTGTGGGCGCGGGCACATTCCTGTCCTGGGTTCTGCTGGGCCCCAAAGGTGACGGGGCCTGTTGTCGCAGGATTATGTGCTGGTGATCCCCGAGGACGCTTACAGCCCCAGCTTTCTCCGGGAGGAGCCCCTGGACCAGTCCTACGACTTCATCAGCCAGTGTACTGCCCGTGGCTACCACATCAGGTGGGCCGGGCCCTGGGGTCAGGCCGGGCGGGCAGCGGGGCCCTGGCTGGGCACTGGCCTCATGCCGCCTCTTCCTCAGCCCCAGCAGCGCGTCCCCGTTCTGCCGTGCGGCGGCCACTTCCCTGTCTCTCTTCTACAACAACGGGGCTCAGCCTTGCGGCTGCCACGAGGCCGGCGCCACGAGTTCCACGTGTGAGCCGTTTGGGGGTCAGTGCCCCTGCCGCGCCCACGTCATCGGCCGGGACTGCTCCCGCTGTGCCACCGGCTACTGGGGCTTCCCCCACTGCAGGCGTGAGTACCCTGAGCCTGTGTGGCGACTTGTGGCCGGATGTTCCAGAAGTTTCCAGGGGTGGGAGGGTCGCCGTGGGCCCGAGCCGTGGGCGCTCGGACGTGCATGGGTGCCGTGTCCCCCCAGCCTGCGAGTGCGGAGCGCAGCTGTGCGAGGAGCTGACCGGCCGCTGCATCTGCCCGCCGCGCACCGTGCCCCCCGCCTGCGTGGTCTGCCAGCCCCAGAGCTTCGGCTGCCACCCGCTGGTGGGCTGCGAGGCGTGTAACTGCTCGGGGCCAGGCGTGGAGGCCCTCACGGACCCCACGTGTGACGCGGACAGCGGCCAGTGCAAGTGAGCGGGGCGGGGCCTGGCGGGGGGTGGGGGGTGGGAGGGGGGATGGGCGGAGGGAGGCCCTGCAACGCCGCCCCCCCCAGGTGCAGACCTCACGTGACCGGACGCCGCTGTGACACCTGCACCCCCGGCTACTACGGCTTCCCCAACTGCCGCCCCTGTGACTGCCACGCGGCGGGGTCGGCGCCGGGCACGTGCGACCCCCTGTCGGGCCAGTGCTACTGCAAGGCAAGGCTGGGGGCGGGGCGGGGCGGGCGCGGCCGGACCCGGGGAGGCCCCAGACTGCGCCTGACCCGGCCTTCCTGCCCCAGGAGAACGTGCAGGGCCCGCGGTGTGACCAGTGCCGCCTGGGCACCTTCTCCCTGGACGCCGCCAACCCCAAGGGCTGCACCCGCTGCTTCTGCTTCGGGGCCACCGAGCGCTGCGCCAGCGCGGCCGTCACCCGCCACCAGGTGCGCGGCGCGGGGCGCGAGCGGGGCGCGAGGGCGGCGCCCGGGGCCCAGCCTGAGACGCGTGCGTCCTGCAGCTCGTGGACATGGCGGGCTGGACGCTGCTGAGCGGGGACCAGCACGCGGTGCCGCTCGAGGCGCAGGTGGAGGCAGAGCTGCTGAGCGCCGACCTGCGGCGGCTGCCCGAGGCCTTCCCCGAGCTCTACTGGCAGGCCCCGGCCTCCTACCTGGGGGACCGCGTGAGTGGTGGGGGGCACCGGAGCCTGCAGGGGCGGGGCGTCGGGGGTGGGGTGCCTGCTGGGGGGCGGGGCGCCTGGGGCTCGGGGACCCCAGCCTCTGGGTCGCGCCCGGGGGGCGTCCTGGACACCCGTCTCCTCCAGGTGTCGTCCTACGGGGGCACCCTGAGCTACGAGCTGCACTCGGAGACGCAGCGAGGAGACGTGTTCATCCCCGTGGAGAGCCGCCCCGACGTGCTGCTGCAGGTGGCCGGGTGGCGCGCCAGGGGCGGGCGGGGCTGGGGGGCGCGGTGAGGGGGTCGCAGCTTCACACCCGCCGCCTCTCAGGGCAACCAGATGAGCCTGACGTTCCTGGAGCCTGTGTACCCAGCACCCGGGCAAGTGCACCACGGGCAGCTGCAGCTGGTGGAGGTGAGTGAGCGCCCCGGTCTGCGCCCGGGCCTGCGGAGGGCAGAGCCAGCGCCCCGTGGTGGCCGGGGCCCTCGAGCCTCGCCGCTCTGGGCTTGTCCCTACTCCCCGTGCTGGACCTGCTGTCTCCTGGCAGCTGTGTGCGCGTCCCGCGGGTCCCCCCTCGGTGTGGCCGTGTCCCGGAGCCTCGGGTCTATGTGGGCAGTGGGTGTCGGGTTGGAACCAGGCCTCTGGCCCGCAGGGGAACTTCCGGCACACGGAGACCCACAACACCGTGTCCCGCGAGGAGCTCATGATGGTGCTGGCCGGCCTGGAGCAGCTGCGCATCCGGGCTCTCTTCGCGTCCATCTCCTCGTCTGTGTCCCTGCGCAGGGTGGCCCTGGAGGTGGCCAGCGCCGAGGCCGGGGGGGCCCCGGCCAGCACCGTGGAGCAGTGCCTGTGCCCCGCCAGCTACCGCGGGGCCTCCTGCCAGGTGAGGGTGCCCACCCAGCGCGCCCGTCCCTTCCCCTGGGCCCTCGGTGTGGGGACAGGCTGTGAAGCGACCGTGCCCTCTTGTCTGCTGACCCCCAGGAGTGCGCTCCTGGCCACTACCGGGACACCAAAGGGCCCTTCCTGGGCCGCTGTGTGCCTTGTCAGTGCCACGGCCACTCGGACCGCTGTCTCCCCGGCTCTGGTGTCTGCGTGGTGAGCGGGGAGTTCCTTGCGGGTGGTAGGGACCGTGGGAACATGGCACTGGTGGGTGCGGCAGCTCAGACGTGCTCTGCCCCAGGGCTGCCAGCACAACACGGCGGGCGACCACTGTGAGCTGTGCTCCCCGAGCTTCCTGCGCGGCCACCCTGAGGACCCGGCGGCACCCTGCATCAGCTGCCCCTGCCCGCTCTCGGTGCCGTCCAACAAGTAAGCTGGGCGCCCTGCCACGTGGAGGGCCTCGGGTGGGTCAGCGGGGGCTCGGGCTGCCTGATCGCCTGACTGCCGTCTGGCCTGCAGCTTTGCCACCGGCTGCGTGCTGCGTGGCGGCCGCCCCCAGTGCCTGTGTCGGCCTGGCTACGCGGGCCCTTCCTGCGAGCGGTGAGTTGGCCGGGCCGGGGCAGACGGGTCGGGCTGGCGGGCAGGCGGCTGGGGGGTTACTGGGCGGGCAGGCCTCTGACACTGGCCCTGCAGGTGCGCCCCCGGCTTCTTTGGGAACCCGCTGGTGCTGGGCAGCTCGTGCCAGCCCTGTGACTGCAGCGGCAATTCGGACCCCAACATGCTGTTCAGCGACTGTGACCCCCTGACGGGTGCCTGCCGCAGCTGCCTGCACCACACGGCCGGGCCCCGCTGCCAGAGCTGCGCCCCTGGCTACTTCGGCAACGCGCTGCTGCCCGGGAACTGCACCCGTAGGCGGGAGCCAGGGGGGCGGGGCAGGGTTCTGAGCTGGATGGGGCGGGGCTAACGGACTGGGCGGGGCTCGCGGTGGGTCCAGGCTTGCAGTGGGGCGGGATTCACGGGGGCGGGGCTGAGGGGCTGGGCGGGGCTTGCACTGGGGCGGGATTCACGGGGGCGGGGCTGAGGGGCTGGGCGGGGCTGAGGGGCTGGGCGGGGCTTGCACTGGGGCGGGATTCATGGGGGCGGGGCTCGCGGTGGGGCGGGGCAGGAGGCAGAAGGCAGCGTGAAGGGTGGGCTGCCCCACTACCCCGGGTCGTGCTCAAGCCTTGGGTCCTGGCCCAGCTGCTCCAGCTGCCTCCAAGTCTGCGGACCCCCAGGCCCCTGTGGTCACGGTGGGGCCAGTTGTGGGCAGCTGGGGCTGGACGAGGGGTGTGCTTGGAGGGTGGTGTGGTCACATCCCCTTCTGCAGGGTGTGACTGTTCGCCGTGCGGGACGGAGGCCTGCGACCCCCACAGTGGACGGTGCCTGTGCAAGGCCGGAGTGGGCGGGGCCCGCTGTGAGCGATGCCAGGTGGGCAGGGGATGGGGCGGGCAGGTGAGCCCTCAGAGCCCGTGAGGGGCGTGCTGACCCCGGCCCCCTTGCAGGAAGGACACTTCGGCTTTGAGGGCTGCGGGGGCTGCCAGCCGTGCTCCTGTGGGCCGGCCGCCAAGAGCCCCGAGTGCCACCCTGAGAGTGGACACTGCTCCTGCCGGCCGGGTGCCTGGGGGCCCCAGTGCCGAGAGTGTGCCCCCGGCCACTGGGGGCTCCCGGAACAGGGCTGCAGACGTGAGTTCAGGCTGAGGGTACAAGGGTCCCTGGGGCATGACGAGGCTGGGGTACCGGGCGTCCCCGGAGCCCTGAGCCCAGTCCTCACCATCCTCCCCCACACCCCAGGCTGCCAGTGCCAGGGGGGCCACTGTGACCCCCACACGGGTCGCTGCACATGCCCTCCCGGGCTCAGCGGGGAACGCTGTGACACTTGCAGCCACCAGCATCAAGTGCCCGTGCCCAGCGGGCCTGGGGGTCGAGGCGTCCACTGCGAAGGTAATTTCCCGTCACCGCCTGCTCCTCCCTCTGCCCTCTTCCACCTCTCCCTGTCCCTCCCCCGTCCCCCGCCTTCCAGCTGACCTGTCCCCCACGCCCCCAGTGTGTGACCACTGTGTGGTCCTGCTCCTGGACGAGCTGGAGCAGGCTGGCTCCCTCCTCCCCGCCATCCGGGAGCAGCTGCGTGGCCTCAACGCGAGCTCCGCAGCCTGGGCCCGGCTGCACGCACTGAACAGCTCCATCGTCAGCCTGAAGGTACTGCCCGGCCCTGCCCCTGCACCCCAGGGACAGAGCGCCCCCTCACCATCCCCCCCCCCGGTCCGCAGAGCCAGCTCCAGGACCCCCTGGGCCCCCGCCACCACGAAGAAAAGCAGCTGGAGGCGTTGGAGCAGGAGCGTGCCCGGCTGGAGCAGGAAGGACAGCGGCTGGACGCGCAGGCAGGACCCCCCGGACCCCACCCTTCCCTGGAATCCGCCCCTGGGACCTAGCCCCCCGCCCGCCTCAGTGGCGTCCTGGGGTGGGGGTCGGGCCCCCACAGGCCCTGATGGGGTGGGGTCTCGTCCACAGGCCTCAGAGGCTAGAGCCCGGGCGGGCCAGCTGCTGGACAGCACTGCGGCCACCCTGAGCCGGGCACAGACGCTGCAGACCGACATCCGGGCTGTGGAGCAGAGCCTGAGGGGTAGGGCTGGCTGGTGCGGCTGGAGGGCGTGGCCTTGTGCCTCCAGCCCGGCTCGTGGGGGGGGCGGGCAGCCTGGCCAGGCCTGGGGGCTGCCCCGTCTGATGACTCCCGCCCCACAGAACTCGAGGCGCGGATGGACCGTCTGTTCCCAGCCAACACTTCGGCGCCCTCCGGGGAGCAGCTGCGCCGGGCGCTGGCGGAAGCCGAGCGGCTGCTCGGGCAGATGAGGGCCCGGAGCCTGGCGTTCCCGCGCGCTGCTGCGGAGGCTGAGCTGGGCGAAGCCCAGAGATGTGAGTGTTGAGCCGGGCGGTGGAGGGGGCCCTGGGGGCACCACCTGACTGCCCCCTCCCCCTCCCGCCCCTGCTGGCAGTGCTGGCCCGGGTGCAGGAGCAGCTGACCAGCCGCTGGGAAGGGAACCAGGCGCTGGCCGCACGCACGCGGGACCAGCTGGCGCAGCACGAGGCTGGGCTCATGGAACTGCGGGAGGCGCTGAACCGGGCCGTGGGCACCACGCGGGAAGCCGAGGAGCTCAACAGCCGCAACCAGGCGCGTCTGGAGGAGGCCCTGGTGAGCCACGGCTCCGGGCTGCCCGGCCCCGCCCCTCTGCAGGCCCCGCCCCTCTGCAGGCCCCGCCCACGCCGCCAGGCGCCGCCCCCTCTGCAGGCCCCGCCCACGCCCCGCCCACGCCGCCAGGCCCCGCCCTCCGAGTCGGCCCCGCCCACCCGCCCCCTCCCCCTGTCTCCTCTCGCCACCTCGCCCCTGCCGCCTCTAGCGACGCAAGGAGGATCTGTCCCGGGACAACGCCACGCTGCGAGCCACACTGCAGTCGGCCCGCGACACGCTGGCCCAGCTCTCGGTGCTGCTCCGGGGCCTGGACCAGGCCAGGGAGGTGAGCTGACTGCCCGCCCTGCGCCCCGCGACCCAGCCGCAGAGCGGGGAGCTCACAGATGCGCCCACCGCAGGAGTACGAGCACCTGGCCGCCAGCCTGGACGGGGCCCGCACGCCGCTGGCGGAGAAGATCCAGACCTTCTCCCCGGCCAGCAGCAAAGTGGGGCTGGTGGAGGCGGCGGAGGCCCACGCCTGGCGCCTGGACCAGCTGGCGCGCAACCTGAGCAGGTGCGCCGGGGTGGAGCCGGGCGCGGGCGCGGGCGGCGGGCGGGCGGGCTGCCCCGTGACTGCCTCCCTCCCCAGCATCATCCGTGGCGTGAACCAGGACCGCTTCATCCAGCGCGCCATCGACGCCGCCAGCGCCTACAGCAGCATCCTCCGGGCCGTGCAGGCTGCCGAGAGCACCGCCGACCAGGCCCTGCGGGAGGCCACTCACACGTGGGAGGTGAGGCCCGGGTCTGGCCCCGGGAGCCCCGCCCCACGCCGGCCCCGCCCCGCCCCTGGTGACGCGTGTGTCTCCTGGGCAGACGGTGGTCCAGCACGGCCTGGCGGCCCAGGCTCGCGAGCTGCTGGCCAATGGCAGCGCCCTGGAAGACGCTGTCGGCGGGGAGCAGCGGCGGCTGGACCAAGGTGAGCCCGTGTCCTCGGCGCTGTCCCCTGCAGCCTCTGGGCCCGGTGCCCGGCGGTGGGGAGATGGGAGGGTGGGAGCGCCCGGCTCCTTTCCCGAGGGCCCACTGTCTCCGGGAGGTGGGGGTGCCCCTGCCATGGAGCCCGGGGCTGGTCCCCTGAGCCGTGTCCCCCGTGCAGCGCGGGCCACCCTGCAGGTCACAGGGACGAAGCTCCGCGATGCCCAGGCCCAGCGGGAGCAGCTGGCCGCCCGTGTGCAGGAGGCGCAGGCCATGCTGGCCATGGACATGAGTAGGTAGCCTCAGGCCAGACGCAGGCCCGAGGCCGAGGCGAGGGGAGGGGAAGGGGGAGCCGGGGACGGCCGGGAGACCCCCGCTGCCGAAGGCCCCAGGCGAGTGGGGGGCGGGGACTGTCCTGGTGGCTGAACGCAGACCCCGCCCCCAGACGAGACGAGTCAGAAGATCGCCCACGCCAAGGCCGTGGCCACCAAGAGCCTGGACGCGATGGCCCGCGTGAACGCGCAGCTGCGAGACATGCGGGAGAACGTGGAGCGGTGGCAGGGCCAGTACACGGGCCTGCAGGGCCAGGACCTGGGCCAGGCCGTGCTGGACGCCGGGCGCTCAGGTGGGCCGGGGTCCGGGCCCTGTGGGGGGTGGGCCTGTGCCGGGTGCTCACACGCCTCCCCCACAGTGTCGGGGCTGGAGAAGACGCTGCCCCAGCTGCTGGCCAAGCTGAGTGATCTGGAGAACCGAGGCTCGCCCAACACCAGCCTGGCCCTGGCCGCCAGCATTGGCCGCGTGCGGGAGCTCATTGCCCAGGCCCGGGGGGCCGCCAGCAAGGTGCGGGGGTGGGTGCCAGGGCAGGGGGCACCAGGGCCACTGGACGCCAGGCAGCGGCTGACTGGCGTCCACACAGGTCCGAGTACCCATGAAGTTCAACGGGACGTCGGGGGTGCGCCTGCGGGCCCCGCGGGACCTCTCCGACCTGGCTGCGTACACTGCTCTGAAGTTCTACCTGCAGAGGCCCGAGCCCGCAGCCGGGGAGGCCGCGGGCAGCCAGTTCGTGCTGTACATGGGCAGCCGCCAGGTACGGGCAGGCTGCGGATGGCGGGCAGTGGGCTAGGCCTCTGCCACCTGGACCCACCCCTGAGTGTCCCCCGCCCCCGCCCAGGGCACTGGCGACTACATGGGTGTGGCGCTGCGTGACCAGAAGGTCCACTGGGTGTATCGCCTGGGGACAGCGGGTCCAGCCACCCTCAGCATCGACGAGGACATTGGGGAGCAGTTTGTTGCTGTCAGCCTTGACAGGTGGGGACTCGCCCGTGCGCACCCCCGGCCCCTCCCCCCACCCCTACCCCACTGTGCGTCATCCCTCCCCTCAGGAGCCTGCAGTTCGGCCAGATGTCGGTCACTGTGGAGAAGCAGACTCTGCACGAGATCAAGGGGGACACGGTGGCCCCCGGGGCTGAGGGGCTGCTCAACCTGAACCCTGATGACTTTGTCTTCTACGTGGGGGGCTACCCCAAAAACTTCACGGTAAGACCCCAGGCCCCTCCCACCAAGCCCCCGGAGTCAGTCGTCTGTCCTGGAGGGCAGGACCCTCACTGGCTTTCCCACAGCCCCCCCAGCCCCTGCACTTGGACCGTTACCGAGGCTGCATTGAGCTGGACACACTCAACGAGCAGGTCGTCAGCCTCTACAACTTCGAGGAGACCTTCCAGCTGGACACAGCGGCGGACAAGCCCTGTGCTCGGTGAGCTCCCCGGCCGTGCCCAACCCCACGCCCGCCCCCGCCCCCGCCCCCCTGACCCCCTCGCACCTGCAGCTCCAAGTTCACCGGGGACCCCTGGCTCACCGACGGCTCCTACCTGGACGGCACCGGCTTCGCCCGCATCACTCTGGACAACCGTCAGAACTTGGGCTCTTACCGCTTCGAGCAGGAGCTGCGGCTGGTTTCCTCCGAGGGCATCATCTTCTTCATGCAACACCAGGTGCCTTCGGCCACTCCCGCTGGCCACGCCCACACACTCACCCCACCCACTGGCCACACCCACGCATTATGCCCCCCTGGTTCTGTTCACTGGCCTCCCCAGGAACCATGCCCAGTGCTGGCCCATGTGCCTGCCCACTGACCACACTGCCGACCCCCTAACTACCCACATCAACTGACACCACTGATCTCACCCCTTGACCACTCACTCACTGACCCTGCCCACTGATCCCACCCCACCGACCTTTGCACCCTTACTGACCCCCACTCCCGCTGACACCTCTCCCCGCTGTGCTCCTCCCCACTGGCTCACCCTTACCGTCCCCTGCAGTTCCCAAGCCCGTTCCCGCTGCCCCTGGCCAAGACTGACCGACCACTCCTTGTTCCCAGGCCCAGTTCCTGTGCCTGGCCCTGCGTGAGGGCCGCCTGCAGCTGCTCTATGACTTCGGCGGGGGCCTGCAGGTGGTCAACACCACGACCAGCTCCACCGCAGCCCCGACCCCTTCGCCCCTGACTGTAGGCAGCAAAGCGGTAAGGCCCGGCAGGGGGCCGCTGGGGGGGGGAGGGGTGGGGTGGGCGCGCGCCAGCCCTGAGCCCCTGCCTGTGCAGATTCACGTGTTCGTGCTGTACACCCCCCCGCCGCGGGTGGTGGTGCGCGTGGAGCGGATCAACGTGTTCAGCGTGGAGCAGAACTCCACGCTCAACCTGGCAGACACCTACTACCTGGGCGGCGTGCCGCCGGAGCAGCTGCCCGCCAGGTGGGACGGGCAGAGGGTGGTGCCACCTGGGCCAGCTGCCCGCCGCGTGGGACGGGGAGGGGGCGATGTCACTCGGCGCTGCTGTCAGCTGCCCGCCAGGTAGTACGGGAGGGGCTGGAGCTGACGCCTCCCGCAAGCGCCCCTGCCTCGCGTCCCCACAGCCTGCGGCGGCTCTTCCCCTCGGGGGGCTCCATCCGGGGCTGCGTCAAGGGCATCAAGGCCCTGGGCAAGTACGTGGACCTCAAGAGGCTGAACACCACGGGCATCAGTTTCGGCTGCACGGCGGACCTGCTGGTGAGCCTCCGAGCCCGTCCCTCCCGCCCCGCCCCCGGCCGCGCCCCCAGCCTCAGGCCCCGCCTCCGCCCACCCGCAGGTGGAGCGCGCTGCGACCTTCCACGGCCACGGCTTCCTGCCGCTGCCGCTGCCCGACGTGGCGCCGCTGTCCGGGAGCGTGTACTCGGGCTTCGGCTTCCGCAGCCGCCAGGACAGCGGGCAGCTCTACTACCGCGAGGGGCAGGTGGGTACCCGGGCCCCAGCCCTGCCCGGCCCCGCCCGGCCCCGCCCCTGGGTCCCCGGCCCCGCCCCTGAGCCCAGCCTGGTCCCGCTCCTGGGTCCACCCGCCCCCCAGCCTGGCCCCGCCTCCAGGTGTGCTCGCCCCGCCTGGCCCCGCCCCTGGGTCCCCGGCCCCGCCCCTGAGCCCGCCCCAATCTGGCCCTGGCCCCGCCCCTGGGTCCCCGGCCCCGCCCCTGAGCCCGCCCCAATCTGGCCCTGGCCCCACCCCAGGACTGCTCGGCCCCGCCCCTGGGCCCTCCCGGCCCCGCCCCCAAACCCCAGCCCCACCCCCCACCCGCCCCGCCCCGCCCCGCCCCTGCTCCCGTCCCGCCCCTTGTGTCCACCGATCTGGATCCCCTGCGCTGGGCTCCTGCGGGGATGCGCAGGGCGGTCCCTGGCGCAGCTGGCCGTGTCCCCCCAGGGCGGGCCGTGCGAGGTGTCCCTGCAGCAGGGCCGCGTGGCGCTGCGGATGGCCAAGACCGAGGTGAGGAGCCGCGTGGCCCTGGCCGACGGGGCCGCCCACTACGTGGCCTTCTACAGCAACAGCAGCGGGTGAGCGGCCGGAGCGGAGGCGGGCGGGGGGCGCGGGCGGCGGCGCGGGCTGGACACTGCCCTTCCCCCAGGCTCTGGCTCTACGTGGACGACCAGCTGCAGCAGGCGAAGCCCCACCAGTCGTCCTCCAGTGCCGGGCCCCCGGGGCCCGCTGAGCTCTGGCTGGGGGGCGTGGCCAAGCCCGGGGCTGCCCGGCACTTCCAGGGCTGCCTGCGCAACATCTTCGTGCAGCGGTGAGTGGGGCTGGACCGGGCTGGGCTGGGTCCTGGGCAGCCTGACGCTGACCACGGACACCCCCGCCCCCAGGCTCCAGGGCCCCCAGCGAGTGTTCGACCTGCAGCAGCACCTGGGCAGGGTCAACGTGAGCTCAGGCTGCGCCCCCGCGGCTGCCACGCAGCCCTCGGCGCTCCTGCCCAGAGGACTGCAGGCCCTCCCGGCTCAGAAGGTGGGTCCCGGCGGCGGTGGGCAGGGGACTGCCCCGGGCAGCCTCACGCATCCCACCCGCCTTCCCCTTGCAGGCCTCTCGCCAGAGCCGCCAGCCCCGCCCGGACCCCGCCTGCGCGGTGGCCGCCTTGCCCCACAGCGCCCAGGACGCCTACCAGTTGGCAGGGGCGCTGCCCGGACACCTGGAGTTCGGCCTTCCCGGGCACTGGTAGGTGGGGTGCTGGCTGCGGGCTGGGGTGTGCGGGCCCACTGCTGACCCGTGACTTCCTCTGCCAGGACACGCCTGTCCCTGGTCGTCCGCCCTCAGACCTCCGACGGCCTGCTGCTCCTCGCTGCCCCCCGGACGGCGGGTGGCCCCTCCCTGCGGCTCTGCCTGAAACGCGGTCACTTCCTAGTGCAGACCGAGGGGCCTGGACCCCGGCTGCGTGTCCAGAGCCGCCGGCAGATGCGGGCCGGCCAGTGGCACAAGGTGAGGACCCCGGAGGGAGCGGGGCAGGGCGACCCCAGCCGGCAGGCCCGGCACGGCCCCACCGGCTTCCTGTTCCCACAGGTGTCCGTGGTCTGGGAGAAGACTCGCGTCCAGCTGGTGACGGGCCGGGCCCGGAGACAGGCACAGGCAGCACCCGGCCAGCGGCTCCAGGGGTCGGAGTTGCCCCGGCCCCACACTCTGTTTGTGGGGGGCCTCCCTGCTGGCAGCCCCCAGGTCTCAGTGAGAAGCAGCCCGCCCGCCTGGCACCCCCCCCAGCCCTGGCCCTGCCCCGTGCCCCGCCCTGACCCGGGACCTCTTGCGCCCTATAGGTGGCCAACAGCTCTGCCAGGTTCAGCGGCTGCGTGAGGAAACTGAGGCTAGACGGGCGGCCCCTGGGGACGCCCAGGCGCGTGGTGGGGGTCACGCCCTGCTACTCGGGGACCCTGGAGAAAGGCCTGTTCTTCGCTGCAGGAGGAGGTGTCCTCAGCCTAGGTAGGCCTGGAGCCGGCAGCCCTGCCCAGCCCGCAGGGGGGTGCCTGCAGCCCCCTCACAGCCTCTCCCCGTAGGCCTCCCTGGGCCTCCCCTGCCCACCCTGGAGCTGGAGCTGGAGCTGCGGCCCCGGACGGCCTCGGGCCTCGTCCTGCACCTGGGCGGGGACCAGGCGCCGCCTTATCTGCAGCTGCAGCTGGTGGGGCGTCAGGTGAGCCCCGGGTGTGGGGGCGGGTGGGGGCGCCCCTGGTCTTGGCCGTGCCCCTGACCCCTGGCCCCCAGGTCCTGCTGCGGGCAGATGACGGCACGGGCGAGGCCTCCACGTGGGTGACGTGCCCCATGGCGCTGTGCGACGGGCAGTGGCACCGAGTGGCAGGTAAGTGGGGCCCTCATCGCAGGGGGACCCCGTGGGGGAAGCAGGGCCAGCCCTAAGCCCCCGGACCCCACAGTGACCAGCGGTGGGCGCGTGCTGCGGCTGGAGGTGGACACACATGCCAACCACACCCTGCGGCCTGGCCCCGCGGCTGCCCAGGGCCCGGCCCTGCTGCACCTCGGAAGCCTGCCCGGTGAGTGGCCTCAGCGCTGGGCCCACCAGCCCCGACCCCAACGGACCCAGGGCCCCACCTCTGCTCACTCGTCTTCCCTGTGCCACAGAGCCCACGTTCACCCGGGACGGACTCCTCACCTGGGCACACCCTCGGCCCCCGGCCTACAGCGGCTGCATGAGGAACCTGGTGGTCAACGGGTCCCCTGCCCCCTGGTCTCACGCTGCCAGCACCCAGGGGGCAGTGGGGGCCGGCGGCTGCCCCGCCGGGTAGCAGGCCCTGCCCCCCAGCTGTCCATCATTTCCCTAGTCCAGATAAAGCTGATTCTGGAAAAGGCGTCCGTGTGTGCTTTCTCTAAGGGCGAACGGGGCTGGCCGGGTGGGTGGGTGAGGTGGCGGGCAGCCCCGGTCCGGCTGGGCACCCCCACTGCCCTGGGGGTCCCCACAGTGGGCCACTTGTCCTGGCAAAGAACCCGGCATTGGCCGGTAAAGAAAAGACGTTTATTGGTGAGCACAGCGGGAGGGGGGGGCGGGCCGGCGGGCGGCGGCTCAGTCCAGGCTCATGTCCTCCTCTTCGTCCTTCTTGTCCTTCCCCTCCTCAGCCTCCTTCTGCTCGGGGCTGGCACCGTTCTGCATGGCTTTGGCAAACGCTTCCACATCTGAAAGCGGGGCCGAGCTCAGGGCCCTTCCTGGGCGCGAGGAACACCCCTCCCGCCCGCGGGTGGTACTCACCGCCCTTGTTGGCCGCCTCCACGGCCTCGCTGGGCAGGCCGAACTGGCACATGAGGGGGCCCAGCTGCCCCGAGGCCAAGGCCGCACTGAACATGCCCAGGGCCTGCGTGGGAGCAGCAGCGTGAGTGCGCCCGGAGCCGGGCAGGGCCCTCCCGCCCGGGCGCGGCCTACCTGCTGGAACTGGGGGGAGGTGAGGGTGTTCTGGATCTCCTCGGCGGTCTGGGGCAGCGACTCCCCCGACGGCAGGTAGGGCAGCAGGCGCTCCTGAACGTCCGCGTTGGCCAGGATGGGCGCCATGATCTCCGGCGTCAGCACGCTGGCCAGGTCCACTGGGATGCAGGCATGGGGCCGTGAGGGTCGCGCGCAGCCCGCGGGTGGACGGACGAATGACCCGCCCGCCCGCCAGGACCAGGGACTCGGCCTGGGTACCTTGCTGGCCGGCCCCGGGGCCTGGCGGCACGTTCATGGTGGCCAGGATGTTCTGGAGATCGCTCAGCTGGATGGGCTGGCTCGGGCTGGCAGCCGCGCTGGCCCCGTTTCCTGAGCTGGGTGCGGGGCTGGTGGCAGAGGCAGCGGCTGGAGCGGAGGGGGCGGGGGTCGCGCGGGCGGAAGAGGCCGTGGAGGACGGGGTGGCGGCGGCCGACTGGCTCCGGGAGCTGAGAGCGAGAGGCCAGCTGGAGGGGCAGCCAGAAAGACCGGGCCCCGCGGGCGCCTCGGCCCCGCCCCTCCCGCGACTCGGGGACCGGGACGGACGCGGGGCCTCACCTGGACGGGGAGCCGCTGGCAGGAGGCCCTCCGCTCCCCAGCAAGCTGGCCAGGCCCGGCCCGGTCAGGGCGCCCAGCCCACCTAGGACGGGAGGCAGCCGGCTCAGCCCGGGCCACTGGGGGCGGGGGCGCCACCTCTCCCCCACGCGTCCCTCGGAGCCCCGGCCTTACCCAGCCCCCCGAGGCCGGCGGGTCCGATGAGCTGCATCAGCTGGCTGTGGCTCATGTTGCCCAGCAGGCTCTGCAGGCCGCCCTCGCCTGCAACACAGCGCTCAGGCCCGGCCCCCACCCGCGCCCGGCCGCCAGCCCGCCCGCCAGCGCCGCGGGGACCTACCGCCCAGCGCGGACAGCTCGTGGCCTCCGCTGCCGCTGGCCCCCAGCGCCCCGGGCATCGGGGGGTTGTTCAGGTACTCGTTGACCTTCCGGCAGTGCTCCTCGTCCTGGTCCGTCTTGGGCTCCTGGAGGGGGCCCGGAGCCGCTGAGTGGCGGGCTCCCCGCGCCCGACCCCGGAGCAGCTCGCCGCGACTCCTGGGCGGGCCACGCACCGGCACGGCGGGCACCGGAGGGACGGGGTCGGGGACGCGCTCCCCGCGGAGGCACGGCACGACCGGCACAGGTGCCAGGTGGCTGCCGCCCGCCGGACAGGGCGCAGGGAGCACACACCTGCATCCAGAAGAAGAGCCGCTTGGAGCCGGCCTTGAACTTGAGCACGTAGACCCTCCCGCTGGGGCACTGCGGCACCCGCTTGAACTCACAGTCGTCGGGGAAGATGATCAGGTCCTGCGGGGCCGAGGGTCAGGGCGGCCGCAGACCAGGGCCCTCGGGAGGGGCCCCGCCGACCCAGCCCCGCGCTCTCCGCCAACCCTGCGCGGCGCCCACTCACGTCCTCCACGCTGCCCGACGTCCTGTCCTTCCAGCAGAAGTGGATGAGGGAGTCGTCGGTCTGCTGGATGTAGACGAGCCCCTTCCGCTTGTCGGGGGTGACCGTGGTGCCCTTCAGGGACATCTTGCCGGCCCGGAACTCCACCAGGTACTTGTTGGAGGTGCCCCGGGCGCCGGGCACCAGGCTGGGGAACAAGGCTCCGGAGGCCGCCATCCTGCGGCAGGGGAGGGGCTCAGCGGCCACCGGGACCCCCGCGGCCCCCCCCGCCCCCCGCCGCACCAAGACCCCCAGGCCCGCGGCCCCCCCCCCCCCCCGCCGCACCAAGCGCCCAGGCCCGCGGCCCCGGGACCCCCGCGGGTCCCCCTCCCCCCACCGGCAGCTCTGGGAGCCCCGCGCCCCCCAGACCGGCAGCACCGGGCCCCCCGGCCGGCCGCATCAAGACCCCAGGCCCGCCCCGGCCGACCGCTCCGGGACCCCCGGGTGGGCAGGTCCGGGCTCCCCGCGGCCCCCCTGCCGGTGGCACCGGGACCTCCAGGCCCGCAGCACCGGGCTGCCCACGCCCCCCGGCCCAAGCGGCTCCGGAACCCCGGCGGCCCCCGGCCCGCAGCTCGGAAGCCCCCGCGCCCGCCCCGCCGACCCGCAGCTCCGGGAGCCCCGCGCGCCCCCCCCCCGCAGCTCCGGGGCCCCCAGGTCACTGCGCCGCCGCCGACGGGGACGCCCGCAGGGGCGCGGGCACCGGCCGGCCCCCCGCGACCCTCGCCGCCCCCCGCCGCCCCCGGACGCCCCGCACCTGTCCGCGCCGAGACTCCGCCGAGCAGCGCCGTCCGGACCGCTTCCTCCTCCTCAGCGCCTGCCGGGCCCCGCCGGAAGTCCCCGCTCGCCCCGCCCCCGCCGCCCTCGCCGCCGATTGGCTGCCGTCAGGAGCGGGCTCGGCGCCTTCCCTCGAGCGATTGGCGGAGCGGGCCGTCCATCACCCGCCCGGCGGCCCCTTCCGGCGGAAGCGCGGGCCTGTGCGCGCTGGCCAGAGCGGCCCCTATTGTTGCTGTGTCATAGGGGCGCGGCGGCGGCCCCTAGCGGCGGCGCCGGGAACGGCGGGCGGGGCGGGACGGGACGGGACGGGACACACGCGGCCAGGAGGCGGGGACGAGCGGACGCCCCGTCCCGCGGCGGGCAAGCGGGCGGCGACCCGGACCCCTGGACCGCGGCCGGATCTCGGGGCAGCACGTGGGAGGGGGTGTCTCGGGGACCCTGCGGGCTCGTCTGCCAGGATTGCAAGACCCCGGGCATCAGGGCCCTTGCAGACCCCCCCAGCCAGAGCTCCGCGGGGACCCTCACGCCCGCCGAGACACGCACCTGGCTGGCCAGGGGGCTCGGGCCCCGCGGTCGCTGGCTTTGGCGGCTGCGGCTGTAGTCGGTTCTCTTCGGGTCGTGTCCTTGCACCCAGTTGGCTGGGCAGGGTCGGCGCTGGGTCTGCGACTCTGCGACCCCCGAACCGGGTGTGTCCCCGTGGTCCTCCCAGCTCCTCTGACTGTCCATCGCGCGGTCAGTGCTGCAGGGGGACACGGAGGCCACAGCGGCCTGCCCAGTGTCTGACCTGAGACCGAGTGGTGTGGCCAGTGGCTGGGCACCAGGTAGCCCAATACTCGTCTAGGGGGAGGCCCAGCTTCCTGGGGGCACCAATTCAGACACGGGAGCGCCCGCGGAGAAACCTCTGGGGTGTCACACTGAGCCGGAACCCGAGTGACAGGAGCCTGGGGCTGATAATTACCAAGAGAGACCAGGCCTGGCCAGGAGCGCCCGGGGCGGGCTTCCAGGTCCAGATACTGTCCCGGGTGACCCCCAGGAGTGTGACGAGCTCAGTTTGCCCTCTGGCCGGCTGGGCCTGTGAGGACGCAGGTTCTCGACAGCACCGCTGGGGCCAGTGCCATGGGCGCAGGGGCTGGCCCGGCCCAGGGGGTCTCATGCCCTTCTCCTGGCCAGGAGTCACAGCTGCCACGCCCAGCCCCGAGCAGGGACCCAGCACGCATTCGCAGGGTCCAGTGGCACCGCCAAGGACTTGGGGTCCAGGAGGTGGAGCTTGTGGAGGGCAAGACCGTGTCTGGACACGGATCCCCAGCACCCCGGGGAGGACCCAGCATGGTCCCAACTAACTCCTGAGAGCTCTAGTAACTGCCACACTCAGCAGAGGCCGAGGACGGGCCACCTCTAGGAAAGCGAGATGGGCTGCACCTGCCTCGGCGAAGCCTCAGACCCCCTCACGTCTAACAAGCCCCAAGGCCGTCCCCGTCCTTGCAAAGCCTCTTCTAGGGAGCCTTGCGGGGGTCCAGCCTGAGTTGCCAGCACCCAGATGCCACAGCCAGTGTATGAGCCACAGCAGTCAGGCTCCAGTGCGGGGCCACAGCCCACCCACATGGTGCTCAGGACACAGTGCTCAGGCCGTGCCTGCATGGCCTTGAGGGAGCGTTTGTGGGAAGGAGCGTCCCTTGCAGACTGAGTTAGGCGCACATGTGCCCAGGAACCCACTGACCAGCCCAAAGCCTCAGGCGATCCAGATGTGAGCTACTGGTCAGCAATTCGGAAGCATCCTGAGACCCACCCAGACACCTGGCTCTGTGCTCAGGGCTAAAACTCCCAACTCTGTGCTTGGGGCTGACTCTCAGCTCTGTGTTCGGGGCTGACTCTCGGCTCTGTGCTCGGGCTGATTCCGGCTCTGTGCCCAGGGCTGACTCCCAGCTCTGTGCTTGGGGCTGACTCTCGGCTCTGTGCTCGGGCTGACTCCTGGCTCTGCTTGGGGCTTCCTCCTGAAGCCTTTCTGCAGTCCCATCTCCTAGCCCCGGAGGGGTTCTTTCAATGCAACTTTGGGCTTACCCTCCCCCGTTTCCCATCGCCCCACCCCCCAAGGAGCAGCCAGACAGGCCCACCTTCCCTTCGGCCCTTTGCACAGAGGCCTGGCACGCACCTCTGATGGGGACGTGCAATGAGACGCCAGCAGCTTCCCAAGTGCTTTAATCACAGGTGTGGCCAGGAGCCTTGACACGCAAGGGCCTGGGACAGTGTCCTTGCACCAGCATGAGGCCCCGGGGACAGCGTCAGGGCCAGCGCAGGGCTGCCTGTGGCCTGTGGTGGGCGGGGGCAGGAATCTGGGAGTTTTCTTGTGTTCTGGTCACACCCAGCAATGCTAAGGGTCACTCCTGGTTCTGTGCTTAGAAATTACTCCTGGTGGTGCTCGGGGGCCATACGGGATGCCGGGGACTGAACCCGGGTGGGCGGCGTGCCAGGCAAGTGCCCTCCCAGCTGTACATCGCTCCAGCACCAAATAACTTCCTTTTTCCTTTCTTTTTTTGGTCTTTGGGCCACACGTGGCAGTGCTCAGGGCTCACTCCTGGCTCTCCACTCAGAGGTCCTCCTGACAGGGCTTAGGGGGCCACACCGAGTACCGGGAACCAGACCCAGGTGGGCCGCGTGCCAGGCAAGTCCCCTCCCCGCTGTGCCAGTGCTCAGCACTGTCGGTGGCCAACTGGGGCGGTGGACGCGAGTCCTGCTCTCCAGCCGCCCCAAGCCAGAGGGGCAGACCTCTGGCCCTTCCCAAGCTCCGGCTCCAGCTCCGGCCTTCGAACACGTGGCGGCCGTCCACGGGGACACGCGGCAGGGTCCCCATCTCCTCCGCGAGGACATGCTGGTCCCGGTGAAGCTTTGTGGAGAAACGCCTGGCCCGACGGCCTCTCGGGTCCAGCCTCGGCGGGGCCAGTGCCGGTTCCCGCGGGAGGGCCCCAGCCGCTCAGTAGATGTCGGGGCAGCCCGAGAAGTCCCGCTCGAAGTAGCGGCCCGTGTACAGCCAGTCAGGGGAGCCCGTGTGCGGGTTCTTGCCCCGGTGGAACCACCTACGGGCAGAGGCGCATCAGGGCCCAGGCGGCGCCATCGGCTGCGTGCTCGAGACGGGCAGCTCTCGGAAACAGGCTGGCATCCCTCGAGCCACCCCGAGGCAGCCTGGCCCGGCGGGGCCCCGACGGTCGCAGGCCCCCAGCCCTGTGTCTGTGCGTGTGTGTGCACGTGTGCATCTGTGCATGTCTCTGTGTGCCTGTGTGTCTGTGTCTGTGCACGTGTGTCTGTATCTGTGCATGTCCCTGTGTATGTCTGTGCGCGTGTCTGTGCATGTGTCTGTGCGTGTCCCTGTGTGTGTCCCTGTGTGTGTCTGTCTGCGCACGAGTGTGTCTGTATTATGCATGTCTCTGTGCGCATGTTTGCATGTGTCTGTGTGTCTGTGACTGCACGTGTCTGTGTGTGTCTGTATCTGTGCACGTGTCTGTGTGTCTGTGTGTGTGTCTGTCTGCACTGTCTATGTGCGTGTGCACATGTGCCTGTGTGTTTCTGTGCGTGTCTGCGTGTGTCCGGGGTCCCCTCACCTTGTCTGCCACTCGGCGTCCTCCCTGGCGCGTCCCCTCCGTGCCTCCCGCTGCTTCTCCTCCAGCCGCTCCTTCTCCTGAGTGGCCAGATCTAGGCGCGAGCACACGTGGGGGAGTCCGCAGACAGGCCAGAGGACAGGGTGCTGGGACCCCCCGCACCCCCAGCTCCGCCCGCGTCCTCCGGGGGCCTCCCGCAGCCCCCAGTCTGGCCACTGCGCTCCCGCCCCCTGCCAGGCCTGCCGGCCGCCACACAGGGGTCCCCTCCAGGCAAATGGGGTGGGGTCCCTCCGCCCGGCGCACCCATGTCGCCGTTCTCCATGCTGCGGATGTCAGGCCGCAGGCGGCAGTCGGTGGGCGCCAGGAGCCCCTCCATGCCCGCCTCCAGCTCGTTGAGGCTCATGGTGAAGCTGCTGAAGTTGTACATCTGCAGGGGTGGCCGGGTCAGCGGCGGGCGTCCCGCAGCCCCGCAACACAGCCCAGTGCTCGCCGCCACGGAGCCGCCCCCCCGGCCCTGCTGGCCAGCGGGAGGCCCCTCGCGGGCAGCACAGGCCAGCCCCGGGCGCCCACCCCGCGCTCAGCCGACCCGGCCGCGGGCTGCACAGACCTGGGCCGAGTTTGGGGGCCGGCTGCTGACCCTCCAGAGCAGCTTGCTGCCGGGAATGACCCGCACCGACTCCTGCGCCCCGGGCACCGCGTCCGCCGCGTCCCCGTCCTGGAAGAGGTGCAGCCTGTGGAGGGGACGCACGTCCCCACGCCCCGGCCCGAGCGCGTGGGCGGACCCCCGCCCCAGGCGAGACCACGGAGCACAGCCGGGTGGCCCCGGAGCCAAAGGGCCGAGGTGGGCAGCTGGGGGGAAGCCGGCTGCCCCCTCGGCCCGAGCCGGCACCCACGGGGGACGACGGGGACCCCGCAGCCCTCACCAGGCTGGGCTCCCTTGGGGCGCCGCCCCTGCGCTCCTCCTTCTGGAAGCGCTCGTAGGCCGCGGGCTCGATGCCCCACAGACACTCAGTCCACTTGCCGTAGACCACGAACAGCTTCTTCCTGCTGGGGGGCGGGGCGGGTCAGCGGGCGCAGAAACGGGCCCATTCCGCCCGCAGGTCACTCGGGCGGCCGGCCGGGCCGGGGTCTCTGCCCTGGCCTCCACTGCCTGGGGCGCCCGGCGGCCCCCCGCTTCCAGGGCCGAGCGTGCCAGTGTGGAAAAGAAAGATGGCCCGGAGCGCCCCCCCACCCAGGGGTCCCCACCCCGTCCGGCTGGACCGCAGCCCCTTCCGGGAGCCCCAGGCCCACTCTGGGCCTGAGGGGAGGTGGGGTGGCCTCCTGCTGGCTGCCCCTCTGGCAGGGCCCCCCCCCCCCCCCCCCCCGCCCAGAGCCCAAACAGGACCACGCCCCGAGTGCTCGGGCGGCCCAGACCTACTTCTTGTCCTGGATGTGGCCCTCGACGCGGTGCAGTTCCCTGCCGAACAGCCCGCAGGGCCGGAAGTGGAGCACGCACTTGTCCCCGGTCCTGCAGGAGGATCGGGTGCGCCCTGAGAAGGGGCGGAGGGGTGGGGGAGGGGCACGTGGGGGAGGGGGCGCACCGTCCAGCCAGCCCGAGCGCTGGCCGCATCTGGGGCCTCAGGGGCGAGCCCCGGGGCCGGCCCGTCAGCGGGGCCGAGGCGGGCACCTGTGGTTGACGATCTCCACCGTGCCGTACTGCTCGATCCACAGCTTCCCCAGGAGGATGTTGTGCACGCAGCACGTGGGGTTGCTCCACGTGTAGGCCTCCTGGTGCCTGCGGGCCGGCAGGTCAGGGCGCCCACCCTGCCGACCCGGGAGGGCACCCGCGGGAGCAGGGGCGGCAGCGGCGAGGGGGCGGGGGGAGCACGCCTGCGTGAGGCCACCGGCTTGCCTCTGGCTGTAGCATCCGGGAGGCTGGACTTGGGCAGTTCAACTCGAGGGTGCTGGTGGCCTCAGAGCTGGGCCTCAAGGACCCGACCCTGCACAGCCCTCGCGCCCTGGGCCAGCTGCGGGCGAAGCCAGAAGGGCACGGAGGTCCCCGCCCAGCCAAGCCGGCGTCCGCGAGGCCTGTCTGCGTTTCTGGAGGGGCCCAGGGTTGGGGGGAGCCTCGGGAAGGGGAGGGGGGCACGGCAGGGAGAGGCCCCCGGGCGGTGCCCCGGGGGGTGGGGCCACTCACGCAGGCAGCTCCAGCGTGATGGTGCCCCGCGGCTCGGCCTCGACGCTCTTGCCCCAGAAGCGCAGCTTGGGGTAGATGGAGCCGTGGAACAGGAAGTCCTGCCCGAGGCCCTCGGAGTGGAAGGCGCTGACGGGCGGGTGGTGGCTGACCTGCTCCGAGATGCACCTGAAGCCCAGGTCTTCCCTGCGGCGAGCACGGGCCAGCCTGAGTGCCACGCGAGGCGGCAACGCAGGCACCACGCCAGCCTCTGCCCGCCCCCCGGGACCCCCCGAGTCCGGGGAGGACACGTCTTCCACCCCAAGATATTCCTGGCAGGAAATGGGAATTTCAGCGACTTGCTTTTTCAATAAAAATGTCAGTTTTTAATTGTTCCGGAACCGTGAATACACCTACAGCTGCAGTCATTAAGAATTATAAAGCTAAACCACATAATTACGAACTTAACTGGGACCAGAGCTTCCACGCGCTGCCGGGGAAGGCAGGCGCAGAGCGGATTTGAAAGGTCGCCTGCCCAGGTATGTAATTTGGAAAATGAGTGCTTGTCTGCGCGCCAGGCCCCGACCAGCCTCCGCGAGCCGCAGCCGGGCCTGGGTGGGCTTCCTGGAGACGCGGGGGCCTTGGGGGGCGGGGGTCAGCCCCTTCCCGTCCTGCCCGCCGTCACCCTCCCAATCGATCGCCTTCAGGACGCGCGTGCGGCGCCACGCAGGGCCGAGCACCCCCGGCTCGCCAGAAGCATCTAGAAAAGGCCGTCAGCCCGGAGCGGCCCAAGGCGAGGCCCTCAGAGCTCATCCGCCTCGGTCCAGCCCCCCCTGCTGGGACGGGGCCTTTAGCCCGTCCATGGGACTGCACCCACCCACCCCACCTCACCCCTGCCCCCACGCCCCGGCCATGCGCCCTCCCCCACCACCCCTTCCCCCTGCCGTCCTGTGGTGAGTGAAGCGGCCACACCTGGCCCCAGGCCTGGAGCTGGGCCCACCCCTGGCTACCAGCACCCGCAGCAACTGCGAGGGCCCAGGGGTCACAGCCAACAAAGCAAGGGTGGACACGGACACCAGCAGGCCTGGGCAATGGCCACGGGCAGCACTGTCCCACCCGGTGTTTGTGGCCATGGGGTGTCGCGGTCCTGCGTGTGGCGGCAGGATGGATGGGTCCCGTCTTACCCTCCTCTGCACAAGCCCCCCAACTCCCACGGCCTCGGGCTGGGTGCTGAGGTGGCACAAAGGCTGTTCTAGAAGCTGCCCCTGCAGGCTCAGCCTGAGTCCGGGCCTCTCTCTGCGGGGCGCGGCTCAGGGCGGCACGGAGGACCCCCAGGCCTGCCCGCAGCCCAGCCCGTCCTGGCCCTGCCCTGCCCTGCCCCCAGCCACGGCCCTCCCCGCCCCCAGGCTCCCCGCAGCAGCCACTGGAGGGGCCTTACCTGACCAGCTCGTAGGTCTCTCCCAGCAGCGGGTTGAAGGGTTTGCCGGTTCTCTCCCACTGCGAGGCCACGGCCGACACCGCGAAGGCCGCCACGGACTGGAAGCAGGAAGCAGGGCCTTGAGGGCAGGGCGGGGGGGGGGGGGGAGGCGAGGGGCAAGTGGGGAGGGGCAGAGCGGGATGGAGAGGAAGGGGAAGAGCAGGGGAGGGAGGGCGAGGAGGAGGGGGCTCATCGGTCTGATCTCTCCATGCCACACCCAGTGGTGCTCAGGCCTGCTCCCAGCACAGTGCTCGGGCCCGGGAGGGCTGGGGCTCCCGCACGCCAAGCTCCACCCACTAAGCCCTCTGAGCCCCAGCCCCGTACCGGCCACTCGCAGGGACAGCAGAGGCAAGAGGAACTTCGGGAGCACGAACCCTCAGCCTGGGCACACGCCCGGCGCACACGTGCCCACACACTCACAATGCACACGTGCTCACACACTTCACACATTCACACATGCTCGCCCAGCACCCATTCACACGCAGTGCACAGGTACTCACACTCGCACAGCGCAGAAGTGTTCACACGCACCTCGCACTTTCACACACAATGGACATGTGCTCACACTGCCCGCCTCACGCACAGTGCACACGTGCTCGCACGCTCACTCACCACCCACGTTCACATACACAGCACACGTGTACTCACACCTCGCGCGTTCGTGTGCAGTGCCTATATTCCCACAGTCACACACGTCTCGGACGCATGAAGCTCAGTCGTGCACACACCGACCATGTTCGCAAATGCACACCCCGTGCGCAGATGAGCACACGTGAAGTCCATGCTCGCTCACGTGGCACGCTCACACATCCCACGCGTGCATTCCCACGCACGTCGCACCGCGAGAGCACACACAGGCAGAGCACACCTCAACAGTGAGGCTGAGAAGCCCAGGAAGGTCAGAGGCGCCGCCCCTGCCCGCACCCACCTGCATCCTCTCCAGGGGCTGCGGCTGGCAGGACGCCCTGCGTATGAGGTACACGTGCTCCATGTACTCCGTGATCCGCTGCAGGAAACTCAGGGGCTCGTTGAAGGCGATGGGCATGGTGATCTTAGAGAGCTCCTGCGGGGACCCGAAGGCTGTCCCGCCCGGCCCGGCCTGCTCTGTCACCAGCCTCCCTCCCACCCCCGCGGCTGTCCCGGTTGGCTTCTGTCACCAGCGCCCGCCCTCGGAGCCGCTCACTGCATCACTGGTGGAGCTGCAGGCACCGCATCCTGCCACCCAGGTGCCAACGCAGAAGGTGGAGCGCGGCCCGGGCAGCTCGGAGCCTCACACAGCTGCCAGCCCTGCTCCATATGTGCGGCCGTGACACCAACATGCACACATGTTCTGCCACAGCAAACATGCACACAGGTACACAGACACGCACACATGTGCATCCATGACAGACATGCATGCACGTGCAGTCATGACACCAACACGTACGTGTTCTGCCATGCACACGTGTTCTACCATGGCAAACATGCACACAGGTACAGACACACATGTGCAGCCATGGCATAGACATGCAAGTGTATAGTCATGACACCAACGTGTATGCGTGTTCTGCCATGGCAGGCATGCACACATGTTAAGTCGTGACAGATATACACATGTGCAGCCACTGACAGACACCAACATGCACGCGTGTTCTGTCATGACAGATGTACATACATTTACATAGACGTGCACAAATGTGCAGCTGTGACGTTCATACACGTGTGTGTAGACACAGGCATGGACGTGTGCAGCCGTGAACACAGATGTGGACACACATGCAGCTGCGTGTAACTGTGCCAGAGGGTCCCCCCATCCCTGTTGGAGGCCCTGGAGCGGCCCTGGGGGCCAGGGCAAGTCTGAGGAGCCCAGCTGGGTCCCTACGGGGGCCACACAGGGAGCTGGGCCAGGGTACACATGGGGCAGGGGCACATGCACGCAGGACGGGGCCCGCGTGACAGGCACACACTCCCGCCCCTAGCACAGGCACGCAGGAGCACTGCCACCGGCCCTTAGGTGCTGGCCATCCTGCTGCCTGCCGGGTCCATGTTCTGTGCCCGCGTCCTGCCCTCTCCAGCTGGGACCCCGTCAGACCTGCCATGCTGAAGCACTCGGCTGCGGGCGCCGCAGGGGCTGACCGCGGCCTGGCCATACTCACCAGGCCGATGCACTTCCTCAGGATGCTCCAGACGCTGAAGTCGCTCCTGCTGAACATGGGCGCGGGCAGCGACGTCCTGCAGAGACACGGGCAGCCCCAGAGCTCAGAGCGAGGCGGCGCCTCACGCCAGGGCTGCGGGACTGGCTCGGTGGCCGGCGGCGGTGGGCGACGGGTGGGAGAGCCTGGCTCAGGTGTGGAGCCACGGGGTCCCCGCAGGCTGGGCAAGGCGCGTCCGGGGGCCAGTCAGGAGAGGGGGCGTGGGTCAGCCCACTCGGGCAGCTGCAGCCGTGTCCCTGTGTCCCCCAAGGGCCTCCCCCACCTGGATGGCACAGCCCAGGCACACGCAGTGGGAGGGCAGGGGCCAGTGCCAGCTGAGGCACCGCGGGCAGGGCTGCAGGGGAGGGTGTGCGCGCCGCAAAGGTGCAGGCAGAGCTGAGCCAGCCCTGATGGCAGACCGGGACGACGGCAGAAGCCCGGGAGGCGCAGCAGGCGGCCTCCCTGCCGCACCCCACTGGTCGCACACATTCGTGAAACTGGGGGCCCAAAGCAGCCGGGGGGGGGGGTGGCGGCAGGAAGACTCGGCCCGGCAGGGAAGGAGCCCGGCCGGAGGGCCACGTACCTGTGCTTCCGGACCCCATTTTCCTGCGGGGGGCTCTCCCCGGCATCTCGGGGGCTCGTCTCGGAAAACTCCCCGGAGGAGCTGGCAGAGTCGAAGCCTGGGAGACGGGCACGGGGGTCTCAGCACGGGCAGCAGCCCCAAGACCGCCGCCACCCCGAGCACTGAGAGCGCAGCAGGCAAGTCAGCACAGGCTGGCACCCCGGGTGCAGCTTCTGGCCCAGTCGGAACCACGCGAGCCCCCGCCCACGCACTCAGAGCAAGGCTCCAGGGGTACCTGGGAACCCCCAGGGCTGGTCCTGAGCAGTCCATGCGCGCTGGCAGCCCCAGTGAGCATGTGTGTGTGCGCGTGTATGTGTGAACGTGAGTGTGTGAGTGTGTGTGAGTGTGTGTGTCCCTGCCGTTCCCCACTGACCGGTGACGGCGTCGAAGAACTGCTCCTCCCCGTCCATGCTCCGCAGCAGGCCCTCCTCTGCCTCACTCCTCAGGCATGGCGAGTCAAGCACACGCAGTGAGTGGCCACTGGACTCGGGAGTGCTGCACCCTGGGGAAGGACACCGTGGCTCTCAGAGGCCTGCAGATGCCACTGTCCGGCCTTGGTGGTGGTCAGGCACGGCCCCAGTGGCCTCTCCGGCCGCAGAGGGGATTCCCAAGTGCCCGTGTGATGCGGAGGACCCTGAAGGGTGTGCCTTGGAAGCGCCATCGTGTCCACCCAGAAACAGGGAGACAAGGACGGGACCGAGGAGGCCGCCCCGGGGGCTCCGGCCCGGCCACCGTGAGGCGCACGGAGTGCTGAGGGGGCATGTCCACACCTCAGGTCTTCGCACCGGGCAGCTGCAGCCAGCACGGAAGGGTGTGTTCAACCAGGGGAGCTCAGGCCGGCGATTCCCATGGGGGCGCCTGCAGTGTGGACGGCTGGCATGCACAGGGGCAGGGGCCAGGCACCGTGTCCAGCCCAAGCCCACACGCAGTTGCCCACCCGGGGGAGGCTCCAGAGCCCGGGTGGCCCGTGGCCCTGCGGGAGGGGCCTCAGGCCGCCATGCAGTCCAAGGGGACAGTCGGTGCAGGAAGCGGCTGCTGGCTCGTCTCCTGGGCAGCCCCAGCCCGGCCCAAGGCTGAGGCCCCAGGAGGGCAGGGCGGGCTGTGTGGCCGCGAGGGCAGATTAGGGGCGGCCTCCCCTTCCTCCTGGCCTCATGCTGCTGACGGGCGTGGGGAGGCAGAGCGGGCCGCAGTGGGGTCCCTCCCAACTCAGGTCAGCAGCAGGGACCCTGTGAGGGCCCCCCAGACCCGGTCACCCGGGAACAAGGGAGCAGCCGAGCACCTGCCTCCCGCCCACTGCCCAGCAAGAGAAGAGGACTGGGACAGCACCTCTGGGTCAGGTCTGGGAAGGACGACCAGCCCCAAATCGGTGGTTCAGACGGTCAGTGCTTAAAAGCTCAGTCTCGAGCAGGGCGACAGCATGGCGGGGGTGGAGGGGGCATCTGCCTTGCCCGCACCCACATGGTCCCGGGCCGCCAGGAGTGAGCCTGGAGCACCGCTGGGTGTGGTCCAGAAACCGAAACCAAAACCAAAACGACTCTTGGGCCAGGAGGTGTCTGAGGGAGGAGCAGCGCTCCTGCCAGGGAGACCCCCAGACCTCGGCTAGCGGACGGCAGGGACAAGCTGTCCAGGGCACAGCCCCCGCGGCCGAGTCTCCACGCTCTCCGAGGGTCACGGCCAGGCCAGGCGCCTTCGCAGCCCGGAGGATGATGACAAGTTCTAGGCCAGGGTGAAGCCGGGGACCACGAACAAGGCACAGCCCGGCCGGCGGGCCCAGGAGCCACAGAGCCAGAAGGCGGCGCGGCTCGAGCGGCACATGCAGGCGCCAACACGGAGAAAGCAGCCGGACGTCACGGCCGCTCGGGAGTCTGCTCCTGGGGACGGCACCGCGGCCGGAGTCCAGGCGGCCAGTCCCAGAGGCCACTCCAGGGCAAGACTGAGGGCTGAGCGAGGGCCCCTGCTCGGCCCCCCGGCCCGGAGGAGGAGGACTGCCCCGGGAGATGGGGGCAGCACCCCCTTGCATCCTGCCCGTGAGGCCCCGGCCGCGCTGGGCTGGGCCCCTGCGAAGAAAGGGCAGCGGTGACCCTGCTGCCCTAACGCGAGGGGCGACCCAGGGCTCGGGGCGGGCGCTGGGGCGCAACCCAGGGGCGCACGTTCCCCGGACCCAGCAGTGCTACCCCCGACGCAGTGCTGAGCTGTCCGGGGTATTTGGGGAGGGGGGACTTGGGGTCGTGACTGGGTGCTCAGGGCTGACTCGGGCTCTGCACTCCGGCTCACTCCTGGCGGGCTCAGGGGACCCTCGGGATGCCGGGGATGGAACCCGGGTGGGCCGCGGGCCGGGCAGGCGCCGTCCCCGCAGCCCCCGGGACTCAGTGCTCGGGACGGGAGCAGGAACCCAGCCCGGCGTGGGGAAAGGGGCGCTCGGGGACCCTCGGGTCTGCTTCTGGGGTCGCTCCTGCGAGGGCCGCAAGCCGCGGCGCGTGGGCCCGGGTCCTCCCTGCCGCCTGGACGCCCCCGCAGCCCTCTCGGCGCCCCTGGACACGCCGGGGCGCTGCGGACCCGCTCGGGGCCGGCGCTGGGCGGGGCAGCCCGAGGCCCCCGGCGGCCGCCGCGGGGACCCCAGGCCCGAGGCCCGGCGCCCCTCCCCCCCGCCCGCCGCCCCCCGCCCCGCCCAGACCGAGGCCGGCGCGGGGACGGGGCGCGCCGGACCCCGGGGGCAGCGGCCGGCCCGGACACGCCCCGCCGAGCCCCGCCGCCGCCGCCGCCGCGCGCCCCGCCGGGCCCCGGGCCCCGGCCGGTCCGGCTAGGCCCGCGCCCCCGAGCCCGCCCGGCCCGGCGCGTCACTCACCCGCACCGCGGCCCGCGCCCGGCCCAGCCCGCCGCCCGGCCCCGCCGCAGGCCCCGACGACACCGAGGCGGAAGTGCGGCCGGCGGCCCCGCGACGGGCAGCCGCGCCCGCCAATCGCCGCGCCCGGCGCCGGCGCGTCCGTGGCGCCTCGCCCAATCGGCGCCCGGCCCTTCGTCCGCGGCGGGAGGCGGGACCGTGCGAACCGCGTCGCCGGCACGGCCCCGCCCTCCGCCCCTCGGGAGTCCCGCCCACGCGGAAGAAGGACTCCGCGGGGCGCCAATCACAAGCGCGGGCGGGCGGGGCTATGCAGATACGGCCCCGGAGGGGGCGGGCGCGCGGGCGGAAGGGGCGTGGCCAGGCGCCGAGTTTACAAACAGAGTCAGGTGGTGCGGGGCGCGGTCGCCGGCCGGGCGGGGCCGAGCTGGCTCGGGGGCGCCCACCCAGGGCCCCGCTCGCCCGCCTGAGGCCCTGGGAACTGCCCTCTGACCCGGGAGGGCCACCCCTGGTGGTGCCGGGGAGGGGGACGTCCCCTCCTGGCCGGTGCCCAGGGTCACTCCCCGGCGCCTGCGTGCAAAGCTTGAGTTGACTCGAGTCTCCTCGGTTCTCTCCTCCCTTGGGGTCTCCCGCTGGATCGCATTGGGTGGGGTGGGGGGCGAAGACACACAATGCAACCTGGCCGTGGGGAGCAGGGGGTGCAGACGGGGCGAGTCAAGACCGCCCTTTTGTTGGGGGTCACAGAGCTCAAGCCAGAGGGGGACTTCAGCAAGATGTGATCTGGGGCTCCTAGAGGTGACCGCTGGGCACGGAGCCGGCCCTGGGGAAAGTTCGCCAGAAGCCTCAGGAGAAGCGCCTGGTCCTGCTGAGGTCAGCGGCCAGGGGAGGCTGGACAGCCTCTGTGCAGGGTCGCAGACACCCCTGCTCCTCCCCAGCGGCTCCCCAGAGATGGGCTCTCAGGGGGAGACACACCCCGAGGTGCTCAGGAATGACTCCTGTCTCTGCTCCAGGATCACTCCTGGCGGCGATGATCAGGGGACCCTGTGCAGTGCCAGGGCTCAAACCCGGCTCAGGTGGCCCTCGGGCCCCGTCTGGTCAGCGTGGGAGCCCCGGGCCAGGGAGGCCGGTTGAAGCCCCGTGACAGCAGCATGGGGAAGCAGGGGGGCTCTGCACCCCTGGGCACCCTGACGCCCGGGTCTCTCCCGTCTGCAGAAGCCGCGTCTCCTTCCCTCCCTTGGGGTCCACTGGATTGCAGACAGTCGGAGGCCTGTGGGCTCTGGGGAGCTCTGGGGGTCCTCCAGCAGGAGGGAGGGGCTCTTACTCGCCCACTCTCTCTCCTTTCTTTCCCAGCTCTTCTCTCTATCTCTCCCGATCTGTCTCTTTCTAACTCTCCCTGTCTCTTCCTCCCTCCTTCTCCCCTCTCCTCTCTCCCTCTCTTCTCTCTCTCCCTCCTCCCTCCCTCCTCTCTCCTCCTCCCTCCCTCTCTTTCTCTCTCCCTCCTCCCTCCCTCCTCTTTCTCCCTCCTCTCTCTCCCCAGCTCCCTAAGCCTCTCACTAGCCACCAAGGCTCCAGCCCGACTCAGTTCTGTGAGCCCCCCCAACCTTCCTTGCGGGGACAGCACCCCAAGGCAGTGACTGGTCCCCACTCCCAAGCATCCGGTGGCCTCACTGCCAGCCCTGGCAGGGGCCCAGCCCCAGTCCAGGAGGGCTTGTCTGCAGCTCGCCCCTAAAGCACCCTCGGGGGCCTTGAGGTCTGGGCCGCCCGGTGGGCCCTGAGCAGAGTCTGCCAACGGCTGGGCCCTGGGGTCAGACAGCCCCAGCCTCAGTGGGGACTGGAAGGAGCCTCAGCCACTGCAGAGGGGAACCCGGGAGGGAGGCGGGACAGACACAGCGGAAACAAAGGCGTTGCCATGGCTACCGGAGAAGCTGGTTCCAGCAGGCTGGAGGGAAGGGTGCGCCCCGCAGCCCCCTCCCCAGCAGGACCGGGACCCCGCGTTGCCAAGGAGATGCTGGGCTGGGCCTGAGCAGAGTGGTCGCCCGGCCAGACCCCTCCTGCGCCCCCCACCCTGGGGAGGGTCCACAGAAGCCCGCCTGGGGCTGGCCGGGGGTCCCGGGAAGAGATGGGGCGGCTGAGTCCCTCGTGCAGTCCCTGGACGGCGCCCGGGGCTCTCGGGACCTCCCGCGGGATGGGGGAGGGAGGCCGGGCGTGTCCCCCCAGCCCAGGCCGCGGGGCAGAGGCACCCACCCGCCCCGGGTGGGCCTGCCCTCGTGCCCTCCCGCGCCCACAGCCCTCGGCCTGGCCCTCCTGGCCGCCATCACGGCGGGTGGGCCCAGCCCCCCAAGCGTGCTCGACCTCGTGGGAGACGCCGTGCCAGCCTGCGGGTAGGCGCTGGTCTGGGCAGGAAAGGCACAGCGCGGCCCCGCCGAGCGCCCTGCCCACCCCCCCCTGGCCTCACAGCCCTGCGGTCACCTCGGGCCCCGTCCTGCCCGGGCGTCCCCACTCCCCCAGCAAGGCCGGACCTGCGGCCCTCACGTGGCCCGGCCTCTCGTGCTCCCCGAGGCGCCCTGCAACGTGACAGCCGCTCCCGTCGTCGGAGCTGAGTATTTTTAGCCAGCCCCACGTGAGGAGGGAGTTATCAATAGCGGCGGCAAAAGGGCTTTTC